GACTTTAAGAAAAATGACATATGTATATGTAACAAAACCATTTTTTCTCATCAATCTTATAACAAAACTATGCTGAATAAAATGATGTTATTCAATGAACTGCTGCATGTTTGTTTTGCTTAAAGTCACAGTTTCCAAGAACCTGTTGATGATGTTAAGTGAGGACTTACTGTACAAAATTTTGAGAAATAAATGTAACAAATGTAGGAGTATGCTGGATTTCTTCCTCTTCCTCCCAAATACCCACTTGTTTTCTCTTTATGGCAAAAGTTGTTTAAAAGTGAGACTGGGTTCTGAATGCAATGAAAGGGGAGAGGGTGATAAAACGGAACAAACTAGTAAGACTAACGTTAGCGCAAATATATTAAGAACATGCCACATTTAATCTTGACAGCCCTGTGATGTCCTCTGCCATCCTGATGAGATAAAATGAGACTTAAAGAGACAAAGTGGCTTGCCAGTGAGTGGAAAAGAAGGGATTAAATCCAACTCCCATTCACTCTGGTGCTCAAGTGCCAAACCACTACCGTTCAGGACCTCACAGGAAGAGCCAGATGAAAGCAAAGAACAACCAGGGGAGAGAGAAAGCCAAAGTAGGTGGGAAAAAGAGAGGCAGTCAGAGTGGCCTAGAATCAACTTTCCAATTTCAGGAGCATTGACCCAGCCCCCAATGTGGATAGAATGGGTCTCCCTTATTAAAAACTTCCGAAGGGTTGACTGTAGGAACTGACCTGAGGGGTATCCAAGGTTTGTTTTTGTTTCTAATCTGTTTTCCCTTTTTATTATAAAGAAATTTCTGAGATCTGTCACACTTATTACAACAAATGTCACTACACTGAAAAATGTTACAATTTCTCATTTTAAGAATCAGTATTTCTCATGTGCATGTTTTACAAAATTCCTAAAGTAAGAGAGAAGCATACTGAGCCTCAGGTCCTCGTTGAAGTCATGATGGTACAGAGCCCTTTCCCAGCTTTTTCTATTTAGGAATTAAATTTTGGCACTTTTTCCATGAGTGTTCAACCATTTACAATGGGATTCACAGTGAATGGTCATATGATTCATTCATTTCAACAAGCAGTTGCTGAAAACATTTTCTGCTGAATATTCTCCTTTGAACCTTCTAGAATTTCTGTCCCCTTCTAGAAATTCTGCTCTGCCCCCAGAATGGGAGGTAACCTTTTTGGACTGCACTAACAATATGGCTTTATTTATGTTCCATCAGCAGAGGGGACCAGCAGGAGACATAGAGGCAGGAGGAGAGTGAAGTAAGATTATTCCTTCACAATGGAAGGACAGGGGTCTTCAAACTATATAGCCCAGAGGCCCTATCTGACCTGCAGCCTTCTTTTGTAAATTAGGTTTTATTGAAACACAGCCACACACACCCATTTAAGTATAACCTATAAATACCTTTACACTCCAGCCAGCAGAATTGAGTAGTCATGACATGACAGATATGATATGATGCAAGAAGCCTAAAATATTTATTTTCTGGCTCTTTACAGAGAAAAATTTCTTGACTCCTGCCTTAGGTAGGTCTCTCTTCAGGTAAGATTAATCTTTTTTTTTGTTTTGCTTTTGAGATGGAGTTTCACTCTTGTCGCCCAGGCTGGAGCGCAGTGGTATAATCTCGGCTCACTGCAACCTCTGCCTCCTAGGTTCAAGAAATTCTCCTACCTCAGCCTCCCAAGTAGCTGGGATTACAGGCATGTGCCACCACACATGGCTAATTTTTGTAGTTTTAGTAGAGACAGGTTTTCACCATGTTGGCCAGGCTGGTCTCAAACTCCTGACCTCAAGTGATCCACTCATTTCGGCCCCCCAAAGTGCTGGGATCATAGGCATGAGCCACTGCTCCTGGCCAGCAGGATTGATCTTTAGGCAGCTTTATTCCTGCCAGAAACTGCTACTGTTGGTTGAATAGCACTCCCTACAGCTACACTACAGGTAGAACTATTTCTGCATTCTGGTAACTGTTTCTTTTCCTGGCCCTGTTCAAGCCTGTGAGTGATTGTCACTGTTGCTAGTCCCAGGGTGTGTCATTCATCATATGCTGCCACTTTCCTTTATCCCTGCATATATTCAGTCCTTTCGTGTCTCCTAATTTACCCAGTTGGATTGTGCCACCTATTTTCTGTTGAGACCCTGCCTGAACTATTATATGCATATCATTGTACTGAAGCAATGATAAAGAAAAGAGCAAGTCCAAGTACATAGTCTTATTTTATGGTGGTGATGACAGGTGAGCTGAGCAATGTGGATAAGATAAGTACAAATAACTATAATAAAAGGGAGACCGTGATAAGTATAATAAGAGAGGCCGATATACAAGGGAGAAGGGGAAAAACCACATCTGGTTGAAATATTCAGGAAAGTCTTCATTATTGTAGTGGCATTTGAGCTGAATCCCAAAGGATTGGTTAGTTTTTGAAAGGTGAATATTTTTGCAGATTAGAATTATGGATAAGTGTACAACAGAGATGTTTGGAGGAAAATAAATAATAATTTCCAGTTTCTTCAGCTAGATGCTTGCAGAGCACTTTGGCCATTATCTCATTTTGTTCTTATGACTTCATGAAGTCGTTGCTATTATTATTCCATTAACAGATAATGGAACACAGGCTTTTTTTGAAAACTGAGTAACTTGCCCATGATTGACAACTTGAAGGATAAAAGTAAGGATTCTTACATTCTTACCCAGACACTTAATCCTTAGGAAGATAGCAAGGCATAATTGTGTTTCAGTGGTGGTTTCAGGCCAGTTCTGCTGCAGAAATTAAGCTAAGTTGGTTGGTTTTGGCCATATCTGAAACAACTAACATTGTGTGAAGAACTTTATGCTGATGTTCTAAAAGTACTGGGTAGTTTCTGAGACATTTTACTTAGGGCAATCAGACAATTAGAGTTGTATGCTTAAAATATATATATATATATGGTGAGCCGGGTGCAGTGGCTTACACCTGTAAGCCCAGCACTTTAGGAGGCCAAGGTGAGTGGATCACCTGAGGTTAGGAGTTCAGGACTAGCCTGGCCAACATGGTAAAACCCTATCTCCATTAAAAATACAAACCTTAGCCAGGTGTGATGGTGGGTGCCTGTAATCCCAGCTACTGGGGAGGCTGAAGCAGGGGAATTCCTTGAACTTGAGAGGTGGAGGTTGCATTAGCTGAGATCAGGCCATTGCATTTTAGTCTCGGTGACAAGAGCAAAACTCCATCTCAAAAAAATATATATATATGGTCTAGGTTGTATATAGAAAGGGTTTGAAATAGTGTAATAGTAGTGGGGTTTTGATTTTTTTTTTTAATAGAGTTTTGCTCTATTAGGCTGGAGTGCAATGGCACCATCTTGGCTCATTGCAATCTCTGCCTCCTGGGTTCAAGCCATTCTCTTGCCTCAGCCTCCTGAGTAGCTGGTATTACAGGCACCCCACTAATTTTTGTATTTTTAGTAGAGACGGGGTTTCACCATGTTAGTCAGGTTGGTCTCGAACTCCTGACCTCAGGTGGTCCACCCACCTTGGCCTCCCAAAGTGCTGGGATTATAGGCATGAGCTACCATGCCCAGCAGTAGTGGGGTTTTTAAAGGAAAGCATCAACATCAAGGGTAAGGCTGAGGGGCCGGGGAAGAATGAAGTGACCTTGGCTTTTCAAGTCTGGACAGGTGGTGACTAGGAAGGCAGTGATATTAATAACAGAGCTGGTGAACACAGAAGGGAAGTCTTTATTTTATTTTTCGAGACAGGGTCTTACTCTGTCACCCTGGCATGATCAGGACTCACTGCAGCCTTGGCTTCCCCTGGCTCAAGTGATCCTCCTGCCTCAGCCTCCTAAGCAGTTGGGACCACAGGCATGTATCACCACACCTAGGGTTTTTTTGTTTTGTTTTTTGATAGAGATAGGTCTTGCTACATTGCCCAGGTTGGTCTTAAACTCCTGGGCTCAAATGATCCTCCAGCCTCAGTCTCTCAAAGTGCTGGGATCACAGATGTGAACTACTATACCCAGCCTTTGGAAGATTTTCCAAGAATGATAAGGGATTCGATTTTGGAAATGTAAAGCTAAGATACAGAGGAAAATTCCAACTCTACTTTCAGATAAAATTCTAATTTGGAGCTGGGCATAGTGGCTAACACCTGTAATCCCAGTGCTTTGGGAGGATGAGGTGGGAGGATAGCTTGAGACCAGGAGTTCCAGACCAGTGGCCTGGTCAACGTAGAGAGACCCCGTCTCTACCAAAACGAAATAAGTAAATACTAATTTTCTCTGCAATTGGAGATATGAGTGGAGTCTCAAGAAAGTTCTGGCTATAGATTGTTGACATAAGAGTTCGGTAGCTAAATACATCTATGGTAGGCATAAGAAGAGTAAGTGGTGGAGAAAGTTGTAAAAACAGGAGGGAAGATTAACCTCTGGCCATTAGGGGATCACAGCTGGGCTTCAGACGATTCTTCAGTTCCTAGTGCTGGAGCTAGTGTCTGTAAACACGTTTTCCCCCGCCCTCCAGGCCTCCGTAGTTAGGACCTTTCAAGAACATTGCACATTGCCACAAGCACATAAACACCACAGATTTAATTTCTCAGACTCTCCGCTGGCTGGCTTCTGAAACCAGTGTAAGAGCCCTCACCTGGGTTCATAGGCTTGTGACAAGGCGGGGAAACGCTTTGAAAAGCGCCTATCCCTAAACAAACGTGAGGTACAGGTACCGGCGCTCGCAACTTTTCTCCAGGAGACCTGCGCACCTGTGCAGCGCGTCGAGCCCAGATTATTTTCGTTGTTCTCCGTCCCCGCCCGCCTTCTGCCACGGACAGTTACAAACCTGGTCGATAATTATCCTGGGAGGACGCGACGTCCCAGCTAAGAACTCAGGTCAGAGATCGGAGAGGCAGAAGGATCTCGGGGAGGAGCAGGGGCCGGGCTTGACCTAACAGCTGGCGGCGCCGCCGATTGGCGGAGGAGAAGGTTGTTCCCGCAGGGCGGCCGCTGATTGGCTGCGGGAGGCAGAGGCGTGACGTCTTCAGAAGTTGAGCAAACACCTCCTACTTCCCGGGCTCCCATCCCAATTTCGGCTGGGAATTCGGAACCTGCCCTGCAGCGGCTCGGAAGATCCGAGGCGGGGGGAGACCAGTCGGCGCCCCAGAGCGGACGAGGTGAGGAGGGGTCCTCGCGGAGGTTGAGCAGACGCGCGGGTGGGCTCAGCCTGTGAGATGCGCTGGGGATCGCGGCCCGGACTCGGGATCTCGCTGGGAAGGGCCCGCGAGCTCGGCCCTCGGGTACCGGCGCCGCGAGGCTTCCCAGCAGGCTGGCGGGGCCGAGAGACGGAGGAGGCGGCGAGCTTTCGGGCCTCGCTGCAAGAAGGGGAGGGAGAGCGGAAACGCAGAGCATTTTCCTGAGAGGAAGGGAGGGAGAGCTGTCAGCTCAGGTCCAGCGCTTCCAAGTAGAAAGGCAAGTGATTGCAAATCGGATTGCTTTTCTTTCTTTTTCGGCGGGTAGTGGTGGTGCAATGGCTGGGGAATAAAGAACTGGGGAAGCGGCGGAGAGACCGCCTTGTTCGTCTTTGGACCGCGTGCTCAGCGGGGATGGCTGGCTACGGAGGCTGTGGATGAATGGAAATTTCAGGGCGGTTCTTTCCCCTTTCCCTCCCAGCGCCCGGGGTAGCCAAACTCTGATCACAAACTTCTCTCCTTGTCCATCTGGGCTGCCCACTGTCCGAGACACAGACACGCTTAGGAAGCTGCTGTGCGCTGTCCATTCTGTAGCAAGGATCGCAGAGGGGTGGAAGTTGGGCGCCTTGCCTGTCTGGGTTTCCCGAGCTCCTGAGCCCTGCGGGGCCGTGCGGGCCTTAGCGCTCGCGCTGGAGGGGGCGCGTTGAGGAGCAGTTTACCCACCCTGCTCTCTTGAATGGGGCTGGATGTCTGTCCTGACAGCTTCAGAAGAAGAAATGCGCTTTCCAGACACCGATTTCAGGGAATTGGGGGTTGGGAGGAGCGGGAGAGAGAAGGCGCGCGCACGAGAGAGAGAATGAATTAGTTCAGTAACTTGAACAAGGATTAACATCTTTTGGTGTTGTGGGTCATCAGTGGAGAAGGTACAGCTGTGAGATGTAGTTATACCCAGGGCTGAATGGTCATTGACTGAAGCTGTGGCTTTCCAATACTTTATTTTAAAAAAACCCAAAACACTGATGGCACTTTGGTGTTTCTGGGTTTGTGTATTTTGTCCCTTGCATTCCCCTCTTCTTTTTTTCCTACGAAGATGAGTGAATCTAGGGCTACATGACTTGACTGTGTAACCTGGTGGCCATTCTGCAAAATGAGTTAGGTGGACAAAAATTGAAGCCAATCTAGCAGAGTCATTTTCCTACTTTCCAGATAATCATGTTTGTTATCAGTCTCACGTGCTATTGATGATGGCATGATCAGAACTTTGATTTATTTGTAATTGATTTTTTTTCTCACTAGTCCTTTAACAGACCTTGGTTCAGAATTTTGGAAATGATCTTTGGTGTGTAAAAAGCCCCCATCTAACAAAACGTTTCATGTTTTTCATATATTATTTTATTAATTTATTCATAGAAATAACATTACAAATGGTGGTAAATTTTCTAGATAAGGCCACAAAAGAGTCTATGCAATTCATGAAATCATGGAAACAAACATTTGGAATGAGAAATAATCCCAAAACATTATTACCACGTTCATCTGATTTAAGGTGCCATCAATTGTAAGATACATCCCTATTTCACAGATGCTAAAATCTGAAAAAAAAAGTCTTAAATTTGATGAAATACAACCTTAAAATGGTAATTTATTTATCTTGAACATCCATGCCTAAAGTTTGAAGTTGAAGAAAGGGCTTATTGGGCTCTATGTTTTTTTCTAGAATAATATAAGGGTGGGCGGATTAATATGGAGCCATGGTGAAGGCCTATGGTGTGACAGAGGAAAGAAATGTGTGTCTACTGTTAGTAGTGTGGTTGTGCTCACTTTTGAGGAGTAGGCAAGCTTGGGGGCTTTTCTTTTCCTTAATATTTATTGTTTATGACACACAAGCAATGCTCAACACTTTATGCATATTAGCTCAATTAAATATCACAAGGGCCCTAAGAGGTAGATGTTAATATGACTCATTTTGCAGTTGATACACAGACAGGTTAAGTTACCAACCAAGGTCACAGAGTAAGTTTGTCCGCAGAGGAACCCAGGAGAGAAACCAGTATTCCTTTGACGTATCTATCTTCTGTTGCAAGCTCTTGGCTTCTGGTTCATGCTGTTAATACAGATAACTTAGGTGAATGTCCATTCTTTCCTGATTGTGTTTTTGGTATTTTGTTTCCCTGTTTGGTGTATATTAGCTAGAAATTCGTAAGTCAGAGTGCCTATTTATGTGCTACATTTCTAGCGTTTTTGTAATTCAGTGTCCAGTCACTACTATACTTAATAGAATCAGCATATCAGAGCTGAAAGGGACTTTAGTATTATATTTTAGTCTGGGTAAGGAAACTGAAGTCAAGAGGAGGAATCCTACATCTAGTTATGTGTCCCAGCTCTCATATCTGGGTTTTCCCACCATACTGTACTATATTTCATAAGATTTGTTGATCTATGAGATCTTAGAATGGAATTGAGCTTTTTATTTTTTTCAGGGTTGGGGCAATGTGAGTCTCTTCTTATTCATGTGTCCATTTTTGTTTATTTTCTTGCCACATAGATCTCTATAATGTTTATTAAATTTGCCCATTCATTTATTCTTTCTTAAAACACTTGCTGTTTTCCTATTTGCCAGTCATTGGGAATACAGAGATAAGTAAAACATAATTCATACATATTTACAGTTTAGCAAAGAAACAGACAACTAAGCAGATAAGCATTTTGGACTAGACTCCAATTTAGAACTAACCTTGTATTCCATTTCATTGTAGCTAAAATTATGAGCTAGAGACCAGGAGAAACATGTGTCATGTATTTGGATGCGTTTGAGTAGCTGAAAATTCTCAGACCAGATTAATTAATACTAATAGACCTCTTCCCCCAAAGTCTACCATTTTCTTCTTAGTCTGGTAATGTATTTTGTAAAGGGTTTAACATGGAAGCATTAAAAGAAATGTACCCACACACAGGAAGTGAAAGTATGGAGACCGGTGTTAATGCAAGCCCAAGCCTAGTTCTAGCAAGCCTTGAAATGGGGAGGGATTTGGATTAGTTATAGGTCATCACCCGGTGCTCTGTTAATTCTGGAACTCTTTGAACCTCTCCAAAAATATTATGGTTTGGATACCAAGTATCAAGTGTAAGCTAAGAAGTATAGCCATAGAGCTGCCCATGCTTATTTACAGACACCAGAGCTTCTTGGGAAACCATGGGTTTTTAAGATATACTTTTATATATTTTTTAATTACTTCAAAGGGTGAATATAAATAATTAGTGTTGTTCATCCATGAACTTATTTTCCTCATCTAAAGACTCTATTACCCCATTCTTAGTCTCTCAATAATTAATTGCAATATATGCCTGATTATTACAAATAATTTGGCATTGAGAAATCTCCCCATGTGATTTGATAGTTTTGATTTGAGTCACTAAATTATGTTGTAGTGAAATTATTTTAAAGATCTAAAATAGATGGATAAATAGCACATTCTTAACTATGGGGATTAAAGTTGGAACATTTGGCCTGAATTTCTTCCATGATGAATGTGTAACCCTTTATACATATCCCAATAGAAGTGACAGAAATTAAGAGGAGTAATGCTTAGTTCATTCTTATGCTCTTGTAATGCTTGTGCATTGTTTTGGGTAGGTAGGTGATCTGTAAGCTTAAAAAGTATTCTGATTAGATTGATCCTATGAAAAGGTTTGAAGAGACTTAGAACATTTTTGATATTTGATGGAAGAGTAAAAAGTCCTATGAATATCTCAGCTCTCTTCATCTCCCCACTTCTCTTATAAAAACTGTAAAAATTAAATACACCTTTTTTGTTTGTTTGTTTTTTGAGACAGTCTCACTTTGTTGCTCAGGCTGGCGTATGGTGGCATGATCTTCACTTACTGCAAACTTTGCCTCCTGGGTTCAAGTGATTTTTGTGCCTCAGCCTCCCGAGTAGCTGGGATTACCAGCATGCACCACCACTCCAGGCTAATTTTTGTATTTTTAGTAGAGATAGGGTTTTGCCATGTTGCCCAAGCTGGTCGCTAATTCCTGACCTCAGGTGATCTGCCTGCCTTGGCCTCCCAAAGTGCTGGCATTACAGGTGTGAGCCACCATGTCTGGCCAAATACATCATTTTATGGCATAAATACTGACTGAAAAGTGGCAGAGAAAAAAAATCTTAATCAAGTTACGTTTAAAAAGTTATACCAACAAGAACAACAGACTGTCTTATTATGACATCCATTATGATAAGTCATAATAAAAATATATGATAGAGGCTTGGAAAATGCTTTCTATAAAACAGAAAAAAGCCCCCTATTTCTATGGGCCTCACTATTCTCATTTGTAATACTGGGTTTTAGATTATATTCTATCAGTCCCCTTTTGACTCTAATATTTGGTTATAATCAGTACTTAATAATTCACCATCAGATATTGATCAGCAACATTTAATTAGATAAAATGAATTCTGAACATGGGCAGGGACTGGATTACTGCTTCTTTATAGCTTTACCAAGTGCATCATGCTGTGCATATCTTAAGTAGCCCCCAAATATTTTTTTAATTAAAGGAAGAGAATCAAAAGCACTCGTGCCATAATCAGTGTACAAAAGATTTTATTTTGATAACTCTATAAAGAGACTTTCTGGATTTCATTATAATTTAAATATTAGAAAATATTCATGCTATAAGCAAATGACTAGCTGCTTTTATTTTAATATATGTAATTGTACAAAAGGCCAGTCTGCTCACACTCTGAAAGGACCTTTCTAACCACATATGAGATTCTCTGCCATGAGAGTGGCTTTTCTTAAGTATAATCTTTATAAGTACATTTTAAAGAATCTGCTTTGCTTTGGTTTCTCCATGTGATTTAGAATGATGGTGTACTCAGTGACCATAGGACAGCTCCTGGTCATGGAAAAAAAATGGTGGGGTGTGTATGGAGTGCTGAGCTTTGAGCTCTGTCTCTGTGTCTTTCTCTCTCTCTCTCACTCTCTGTGTCATTTTCCTTCCCTTTCTCTGGAAAATAATACAAAATACAAAGAACATTCAAGCATTCTCTTTCCTCTGATTCTCATGTTTTTGTTGCAAAATTAGGTAATTAGTAAATTAAAAGATTAAGTCTTGCTTCCTTGAGAAATGGAAAGATAAAATAGCATCATAGAGTATGTTCTCCTATTGCTACTGATCAATCTTCACTATCATCTTCCTGTCTCAGTACACAGCAGTTCCTTCTTATCCAAGTTTTCACTTTCCATGGTTTCAGTTACCCACTGTCAATCTGGTCCGAAAATAAGTGAATAAAGTACACTAAGATATTTTGAGAGAAAGAGAGACCACATTTACATAACTTTTATTAGAGTATATTGTTGTAATTCTATTATTGTTGCTAATCTCTTACAGTGCTTAATTTATAAATTAAATTTTATCATAGGCATGCATATATAGGAAAAATCATATATATAGGGTTTGGGGCTATCAGAGACTTCAAGCATCCACTGGGGGTCTTGGAATGTATTATCCACAGATAAGCAGGGGCCACTGTATGTCTCTGCAATGCATTATAATGCTCCCATGACTTTTAGAGACATTTCAAATTCCTGATCAATCTTAGGTAAATAAAAGTGTACACCTTAGTGGTGTTCTGTTTTACAAAAACAGAGAAGAAATATTTTAAATTTCATTTTAATATCTGAACTGTTAACCTGTATGTATCAAAGGGAAGACTGTTGCAATTTGTCAGAGGATGGGTCTTGTACCCCGCCCTTGCCAGTGTGACACTTCTCTTTTTCTATTTTCCTTCCCTTTGTTCTTTCTAGCTTTTTATTTTCCCCCGTTTCTGCCTCCTGCTTTTCTACATCCTTCTTGTTTGTGTTACGAGCTGCTATCAGCACCTGACACTGTCAGGTAACCTCACTAGAGCCGATGGTGAGTAAACCATGATCTTCCGTCCTTGCTTCATTGAAGGCATTCCAGAAATATACATTGAATTTACTTCCTGATATTCTTGAAAAATACCACAAGATCCAGGACAAAAAGCCAAAGCAACCCCTGTTGGCATTTTCATGAAATACTAGACACCTGAAGTGCAATTTAGAAATTCTCACTATTTCCTATTTCTTGAAGACCTTAGAAGCAGGTGAACTGTAGATCTTGAAAGTTCTATGCTGAGACCAAGTTTTAAGGTTCAAGCATTATCTAGCAGTTATACTATAATCAAACTTTTTTTTTTCTAAGCACACAGAAATCCAGAATTTACCTTGGCAGGTACTCAGAAATGATTTTCAGTATAAAGCCAAAAAAGCAGCAAGAGAGGCACCACATGCTGAGGGGAGAACAGATAATTCACTGTAACTATTGAAGTAAAAGCCGTGTGGATCTGATTTCTTTCTGAAACAAGAGTTGGCTGGAGTAACAGCATGGGTTGAATCTATGTAGTGTAAATGTGTAGGCTTTGGCAAAGAAGAGAAAATTCCAGACGTTAAACATTAAACTAGGAATCCTGCTTCTGCTTAAAAGCAACAGATGCTATCTGACTCCAGTTCAGTTTCTTCATCTGTCAAATGGGGATATGTATCTGCTTAATAAGATTTTTACAAGGAGGAAATAAAATGATGTCTGTAAAGTGATCAGCATAGAGCTTGGCATGTAATACTTCATCAATGGTAACTACTGTTACATTTGATTAACTAATGAAAGTTACAGAAATTATGATTTAAGTCTTCCATGCAAAAAGTGAAAGTGAAAGTAGCTTCTTCTCAAATGAATTGAAGCTCAGTCCCAGCCACTTCTTTCTTTTCCCCCAGTCCTCTGGGGTAGTTGGCCTTTGCAAGTATATATGTGTATGTTACAAGTGTCTGTCTGTGTCTGTGTCTGTGTCTGTGTCTGTATCTGTGTCTCCTGCTTTCCCGCCCCATCCCAGACAAAGGAGGTGGTGGGAGAAGGAGCAGGGATTGTCACTGAGGGAGGGATGAATGAGGTTAAAAATCAAGCTTGGGCTGGGGGAGGGATTACATTTTCTGCCCATGTTCCTCCTGTTGGAGTCAAGAATTTTGATTCATAATAAAAGATACAGGGTTATGTAGTCACCTGTGAATTTATGAAACACAGCCCCTGCTGGGAAGATGGTATGATTTCTGGACATGTGTGTGTGTTTAAAGGAATCACTATCTTTGGAATCGGTTTTATTAGGAACTAAAGAACTCAAGTTCTATGGGACATTGTGCTTTTTCTTTTGGCTTCAAGAAAACTGAATGTTACGGGCTTGGGTTTGAGTTTAGTGCGATCTCTTTCAAACGTACATGAATAAACAAAAAATTTAGATGCAGTATATAAGTCTTTTACTGAAAATGTTGGTAATCTGTTTTACATGCATATTTTGCCCTGAATAAAAGCCTGAACTCCTAATCATCAGCAGTTTCTTTTGCTGTGTGCAGCTTTCTTTCTTTTTGGACCTCTTCTTAAAGCCTTCTTAGATGGACTCTTCGCTCTTTGGTCTGTTCTCTGATTCTGTTGTAAAGTGTCCTATAAATTTACCATCTGGGCAGCAAGTAGTTGTTTGCCCCGAGGAAATGTACTTGTATGTTTAATCGTTGGCTCAAGCCTTCCCCATCCATCAAGTTGGTCCTCTTCCAAGATTGCAGTCTGATGTAAAAGAAATGTGTTTCATGAAAGTTTTTCTATATATGTTAGCAGTGATGGGTAGGAAATTTCTAGAAGGTACAAAAATCAATCCTTATATTTTGCTGCCAACTTTACATGGAAAACTAAGTCTTAGCATTCAAATGATCCTGCAAATCATCATCTGAAATGACATTTGGCTCCAAAATGTGGTTAACCATTTGAAGATGGATAGAATACTGTTAACCCTGGTATTTATGCTTTAAAAATTTATCTAAGATTTATTCTGCATAGGAATAAATGAACTTGTATATAAATGAAACTGTATATAAAACTTCAGGAGCATCTGGGTGAAAATAAAATGTTTGCTAGTGTCACTTTAATTTCTAGAATTTGGTTAAAAGTATTATTTCCACCATATTTTACGATTCCTCCAGCTAAGGGATAAAAGAACTACTTTCAGTAGATGGTATCATTCTCTCCTTCATGTGCAGCCCTGGTTCTGGGACTAGGGGGACAAGACAGTTCTTGTACCCAGAGAATGCTGCTTTGAGTAGGATTTATCCATGAGAATGTACCTTGCCTGCCACTTTGAGAGAAGCCCATTACATTCATCATAGTAACCCTTTTGTAGCTATTTCTTGATTGACTGAATTAGTAGAATTATGCAGTCTTCTCACTCGAATAGCAGTTGGAAAACTGGTTGAGGCAGGCTGGGTTTTAATATAACAGGAGGAGGTAGTGGTATGGAGAGGAAACCCAGGAAGAGGAACCGGCATATTTAAAGTAACAAAGGGGAACAGTGAAGGTGAGGCTGGACTCTATGGTGGAAGCAGAGTGATTTAACACTGCTTCTTAAGATTCTAACACCTCTGGCGAAAAGAATAGCTTTGTTTGGTCGATTGGCTTTCTTAAATTTCGAATTTGTTGAGGACCAATAGTTTTGTAAAATCCAGTAACAATAAATTACTAGAAAAAATGATCTTGTGGCCTGACATGGTGGATCACCCCTGTAATCCCAGTAATTTGTCATAGAATTGAAAAAGAAATTAGCCAGGTGGGTGATGTATACCCATAGTTCTAGCTACTCAGGAGGCTGAGGGTGGAGGATCACTTGAGCCCAGGGTGCAGTGAGCAATGGTCTTACCACTTCATTTTAGCATTGACAGAATGAGACTTCATCTCTAAACATAAATGCATAAATAAAAATGCTTACTTTCTATTTATATACACATCTCATTGTAAACCAGTTTTAAAAAAAAAACAGTTCACTGACTAACGCTAGGTTGTGGGGCACATTGAGAAGCACTTGTTTTGGGAATGATGAGAGATGAACTGGAAAGAGATTGGCACTAAATTGTGAAGAACCTTGTATACCGTTAAAAGAATTTCAAACCTGATACCATCAAAGTTTGGACCAATCTGAAAGTCCTGCTCTTTATTATCTTCCTGGATCTAGATTGTAGATTAATTTTTCTAAAACTTTTGTGTTGAATAGATATTTGATAAAATATGTATTTAAAAAGCTATTTTAGCTTAGCAGTTATTGGTTAGTGTCACATATGTGCTCTATACTTTTCAAAATTTTATAGTTAAATAATCTTGTTTTTGAAACTTGGCTTTCTTTGGGTAAAGGAACACTTGATACCCCAGTTTTCCTTTCCCTTTTCTCTACCTTGAGTCTGTTTTCATAAGAGCGGGTTGTATTTTACCGCAGATTTCTCAGGAGACCAGAACTGATCTGCTAGCCCTGCTGCCTTTTGTTGCTCTTGTCTTTCTTTACATTGTCTTTACAGTCACCAGGTGTCAAGATGCTGCGAGTACGTAAGACTGCACTGGGCAGGCTAGGGGTCAGCCTCTCCAGGCATCTTCATTACAAAGCTGTGTTGGCTGTCCGGAGGGAGGATGTGAACGCCTGGGAGAGAAGGGCTCCTCTAGCTCCCAAGCACATCAAAGGCATCACCAATCTGGGATACAAGGTCTTGATACAGCCTTCGAATCGGCGGGCAATTCATGATAAAGTAAGTATTTCCAATGTTTAACATACAATATCCATTGTAAAGTGGGTCACAGACTTCATAACTCATTACTACTAAATGCTTCAGCGTGCATCTCCTCAGAATAAACCAGTTTTCTACATAGCCACCATATTATTTTCATACCTAAGAAATTAATGATTCATAATATCATCTCATATAGTCTATGTTTAAGTTCCCCATTGCCTCAAATGTCTTTTAATTGAGGTTTAATGAAGCTTTATTGCATTTTATTGTTGTGTGTCTTACAGTTCTTTCAATCTAGAACAGCACATGCCTTTCTGATTTTGTTTCAGTGATATTGACATTGACATGGGATCTTTTTGTTTTTTTTTGTTTTTGAGACGGAGCCTTAGTCACCAGGCTGGAGTTCAGGGACTACAGGTGCGTGCCATCACGCCTGGCTAATTTTTGTAGTTTTAGTAGAGATGGGGTTTCACCATGTTGGCCAGGATGGTCTCAATCTCTTGACCTCGTGACTCGCCTGCCTCAGCCTCCCAAAGTGCTGGGATTACAAGCGTGAGCCACCACACCTGGCCTCTTTTTTGTTTGTTTGTTTGTTTGTTTGTTTGAGAGAGTCTTGCTCTGTCACCAGGCTGGAGTGCAGTGGTGCAATCTTGGCTCACTGCAACCTCCACCTCCTGGGTTCAAGTGATTCTCCTGCCTCGGCCTCCCAAGCAGCTGGGACTACAGGCGCGAGCCACCACTCCTGGCTAAGTTTTGTATTTTTAGTAGAGACAGGGTTTCACCGTGTTGGCCAGGATGGTCTCGATCTCCTGACCTTGTGCTCCGCCCACTTCGGCGTCCCCAAGTGCTGGGATTACAGGCGTAAGCCACCGCACCCGGCTGACGTAGACTCTTTTTAAAAGAGCCCAAGACATTTAGTGTCATGTCAAGCATTTTTGGCAGGAATATAACATAAGTGATACATGCTCTTCCCATTGCATCAAATCAAAGGCACAAAACATCAGGTTGTCCCATAGTTGGCAATGTGTAATCACTTGGTTGAGGTGGTTACAGTGAGAGCTCTTCATTGTTAAAGTTTATTTCACCCTTTGCAACTATTGAGTCATCTGTGAGACGGTATTTTAATATCTGTAATGTTCCTATTCCTGAATAACTTTACAACTACTCATATTAGCCCCCATTGAATCTTTGCCTGAATTAGTTCTTAATGGAGACTTGTGAAGTGATGCTTTTCTGATTTTATCACTCCCCTAAGTTTGTTTGCTGTCATTCTTCTTCAGAAAGAGGTTTTCTTTTATTTCTCTTCCACTCCTCTACTTTTTTGAGTTGTGAACTGTTTTATTACAGTATATTGAACTGTTTACCAAACTGTGAATTCTGTAATTCGGTGTTTAATTATGCTTCTTTAAAAAACCTTCTTACCTTTGCATTTAAAGGCTTATTGTGAGGAGTTTACATAGGCATCTTCATGTTGACAAGATAAGTCTTAGCATGTTGCTTAAAAGATGAGTTGTGAAGTGTTTTATCACAGTGAACTGAATTGTTTATCAGTGTGACGTTTCATTTGCTTCTTTAATTTTTGCTTTTTAAAATATATTTTGGAATCATGAACCTTTTGCATTCAATCCATTTACCATTATTCTTTTTAATGTCTGAATTATCCCCAAATTGGTTAGTTCGAGTCCTTTCAAGGGACCTTTTCTGTCCTTTGGATATGAATCCATTTACCTTTGAGTTTTCCTATTTCTTAGAATAACAAATTGTCCTAGTCTCACCTTGTACCTTTACTGCCCCACATCAGGAAATTAATAATTTCACCAAGAAGCCTTGATCTCTTTTAGTATATAGAAACCAAGATCTGGTATGTGGTGTTAAGCATGTTTATTGTTATTGAGATACCGTTGCTCTTAGGCTCTTTTAGTGTACGGAGCTTAGAAATAAACACAAGCAAATGCCCACACAAATACGTATATTAGTCAATCTTAAGTTAATACTGATACTAAAAGACCTCCAGAGGAAAAAATAATGCCCAGGAAAATTAAAATTTAACATTGTGGAATTTTTTATCTTTAAAATTTTATATTTGCATCTGTTTTCTCCAACACTAAAAATCTTAATTCTTTAATATTAATGTATATTGTTTGCTTTATCCTGTAATATATATAAAATAGTGTCAGGATCACAATGCTATTATTACAACTAGCAGTAAGCCCACTAAATGAAGTTTACTATTTCTTTGATTTTTGTTTTGTTTTGTTTTTTTTGCCTTTAGAATACATCTGACAATGAACATTCAGAGTGTTGTATTAAATAACTTATTTGAATTTTTTTTGGTGTGGTTCCATCATCCATCTAATATCCATCTAGATTTATATTTTATTATATAATTTATATATAATATAAATTTATTATATAATTTATATATTATTGTGTTTATTCAATTTTAATGTTTGCTTTCCCATTTTTTGATTTAATTTTATTTTTCAAAGTAGAATATTTACAAATTCCAGAAATGAAGTCACATTTTCATTTTAAACCCCTACATCCAGTTCTCACCCACCCCAAAGGTTACTTTTGTTTCTGATCTATCATTCTTGTTTCCTTTTTTTGCAAAAATTAACACTTGTGTGTGTATTTATGTATTTATTTCCCTTTTGTTCTTATACAGAAGGCTGTCTACTGTGTATGCTCTTTTGTACCTTTCTTTCTTTAGTTACAACGTACCTTGAACATTGCTCTTTGTAAGTTCTTAGAGCTATTTCATTTCATTTAAAGGCTGTGTGGTAAGTACTCCATTGTACAGATCTTTGGTTTATTTGCCAATCTACTACAAATGAGAAAATGGACTGTTTTTTAAGAAACCAGGGAGAAATTGTATGTTCATCCTTTATCTCTCTTATTCATCTCTACTTTCTTTTGAAGTAGGTTCCTAACTAAATCTATCTGTGGTTGAACTGCTATCGTGGATGCTCTTTTAATTCTGCTTGGGTTATACTTCTTCATTTAAAAATCAGATATGGCTGTGTATTGCTTTCATGTACTAGTTATGCAGTCTCAATTAAATGTGTAAGCCTCAGGTTTCCCATTGATTGAATAAGGATTATAATTGTACTTACCTCATGAAAGTTGTATGAAATTTAAATGAGATAGTTCATGCAAAGAGCTTAACAAAGTACACAGTAATTTATTAATACATATCAATGATTATTGTTACTTATTATCCAATAAAGCTCATATTAGCCATGATGATATTCAACCTACATTTCCAAATCAATTCAGTCATATGCTGTAAATGTCTCTTTACTCCTCTTCCTTCATATTTTTATATGCCTTCAATGCCTCTTACTGATATTACCATCTTGTGTTTCCCATTTTCATTTCTCTAAATTTTAGGTAGCCATTCAGATCAATTTAAATTTTCGTATTTCTCTGGTTATCTTGCCATTCAGGTTAATTTAACTTTCTTATTTCTTTGATCATCCCACCTAGGAATTATCTCAATATCAGTTAAAGTAGCATATCACTTAGATGCTGATGATCATAATGGTTTGAATTTGTCATTTACTCCACTCCAGACTACTTTTTAACTATATTTTGTGAACTCCTTTATAGAAGGGATCTTGACAATATTTCCTTGTATCTTAGCATCTCATCTCTAGCACAGACTAGTGTACAGTTAGGATAGTAATAAATACGAACTGGGCCAAAACAATGAAAAATAAATGTTATAATTATGTCTTATCTTTTAAAAATACAACTAATAAGTCACAAATTGGCATTTACTATTTCAGTGTATTGTTGGTACAAAATATACATTTCACAAGTATGCTTAAGTCACATGTGCTAGTGGATATGACCAAATTATAAACTCTTCTTAAACATATGTGTATCCTGAGTTTTCTAATTGTTTTATGCTGTAAGTGTTGAACATAATATATTTATCTTTAACCAACAAGTACAAATATTACAAGTAGTTGTTCTGTTATTTGTTCTAATTCATACAGATTTTATTCCTTCAAAAGATTTGTTGTGCCTTAATTTTCTACACATTTTATTCAAGAAAGCATGGATGTTACAAATCAGAATATTAACCTTTCATCATAACTAAAATTTCAGGAATATGTCAAAGCCGGTGGCATTCTTCAGGAGGATATTTCTGAAGCTTGTCTAATTTTGGGAGTTAAAAGACCTCCAGAGGAAAAATTAATGTCCAGGAAGACTTATGCATTTTTCTCCCACACAATAAAAGCTCAGGAGGCCAATATGGGCTTGTTGGATGAGATTCTTGAAAAGGTAACTAGTGATTAATATTTATAAATATTAATGTAGAAAAATAGTATTTTTTAGTTTTAATAAGTGGAGGTTTAGTTTTCTTTCCTTCTTTAGTTTAAGAGGAACTAAATACTGCATTCCTTTTATATTCTGAAATGGAAAGAATGATAAAAGCTTTTTCCCTAAACAGTTTATCAATTTATAAGGCCAATTGGCCATATATTACCAAATAGAATTTTAGAGCTGAAAATAAACTCAGGGATCATATAATCTACTACCTTATTTTTCAGATGGGACCCAGAGAGGTAAAATGACTTGACTGGGTTGCACACTCTGTATGCCAGAAGTGGACTGCGGACAATTTTTACATTTATTCACATTCATAAGGAAAAATGCATTTTTGAGATGTAAATACTATGAAAAAAACTAGTAGCTCTTTAAAACACAGGGTATTCATTTAACAAATATTTACTCGGTGCTGATGATGTGTCTGATGCTGTTTGCTCTAATGAAAGAGCAAAAGAGTGACGTATTCTTATCTTCACAGAGCTTACATTGTAGTGGGAGGAAACAGATAATAAATAAATAAGATCAATATGCCACTTGGCAATATGTGTGATGAACATAAATATAATATTGAAGGAGAAAAGAAGTCCCGGGCACTGGAACATGAATATACTGTTTTAAATAGGATGGTCAGAGGGGGCCCCATTGTGAAAGTGGCATTGAGCAACAACCTGAAGGAGGCGAAGGACTGAGCCATACACATCTGAGATGAGTACTTTAAGCAGACAGAATAGTAACGCAAAGGCCTGAGGGTCTTTTAGAGTATGGGGTTAGAGTAGACCATGTTCAAAAATGCTTATTCTGTCTCTTGTCAGTAATGTTTGGAGGTGGGAGGGGGAGAGCAAAATTACTAAGAAGGCTGCTGACCTAGGCTGGTCTAGCCTGCAGCTCACAAGTGATGGTGGCCTGCACCTGGAAGTGGTAGTAATAGAAGTTGTGATGTGTGGACAAATCTTGGATGTGTTTTAGGGGTGGATCCTACAGGATTTACTGATGACATAAAGGTAGAATATGAGAAAAGGAGAGGAGTCAGGAATGACTCCAGGTTTTGGCCTGAGCTACTGAAAGCAATTGCCATGGAATGACGTGATGCTACTAAAAGAGAAAAAGGCTTGGGTAGGCAAATGGAGAGTTGGGTTTAGGGTCTGCCAGGTTTAATATTGTATTAGACATGTAAAGGGATAAGCCAGGTGGGCTGTTGGATACGAGTCTGAAGCTCAGGGGGGCATCTTCTCCTGACATACAGTTTGTAGTTGTCAGGGACTAGATGGTATCTAGAGTCATGAGACTGGATGAGCACAGGAAGGAAATACAGATAAAGAAGTCTAAGGTCCACAGCCTCAAGACATTTGAGCTAGAATCTGAGATTAGGGCAGATGATTGGAGAAATCATAAACAGTAAAAGCAATGGGAAAACACATATTATAGAGGAGTATAAAATACTTTCCAATTAATTCCAAAGACAGTAGACATGGGTGACAGTTAATTTGTAGTGTTTCTAAAGAACAAGTTCAAAAGTAACTAATGGAAATAATACTATATGAAGAATGTTCCATCTTAAGCAAATAAGGTCTTTATTAAGTATTTTAGGAACATTTTTTGTTATTTTAACCTGTTCATTATAAGAAAATTAGCAAAAACCGACCTGGCAGGGCTGCTTTTGGGCAGCATTTTGTAACCAATGACTTGGAGTTGGATGAAGAATAAACATTCTTAAACTCATGAACATGATAAAATTATATGATCTTTGAGGAAATAAAATTACTGTTTAAAATACTATATAATTACAATGCACTATGATGTTTTAAGCATGAATTACTAAGACTTTCCTGAGAGGGGAAAGGTTTTCAAGGAAAGAGGAAGAGAATGTGTTTTTAGTGAAGGCAAGGAAGAGAAATGCAGACATCATTACGGCTTTAAAGAGGAAGGTTACCTGTAAAAGGACGCAGAGGGGGAAAAAAAGAGAGGAGGAGGAGAGAAAAATATTTGTGCTTGGACTTGAGAGGGAGTGTTATTATTTTCCAGGTAGTATAGACCTGAGTCTATTTAGAATGGTTGAGAAACAATGTAAAGAGGGAAGATGCGGAAAAGAGGTAACAACAGTTCAAGAAGAGTGATCTTGGAGGACATGAGAGGAGCTAGGATCTAGCTCAGAGATTCATCTCAAAGGGGATCTGTTTTCTTTGACCAGAAGGAAGGATGTAAGGATGAGTGGGGCTATAGATATGTTAGTAGATGGTGCTGGATGGGTGGGGGCAAAAAGGTAAGGGAAATTCTACCTTTATTATTTGCCTATCATCAAGGGGGTATAGCACCTGCTATGATCATTTTTTCATTTCCAGTTACAAAGCTACCATTGGTTTGCCACCTGGTGTTTTCTAAATATTTCATGGTATACCTCATGGTAACTTCTGGTAGCAAGTTAAGATATATTTCAGAGGAAAAAATGTGAAATACTTACTTGCTCATATTTATCTTTACTTGTTACAATTAAGCTTAATGGGTCCAGTTGGAAAATTTTTTATCCCCTTTTCAGGAAATTCGACTTATTGATTATGAGAAAATGGTGGATCATAGAGGAGTACGGGTTGTGGCATTTGGACAGTGGGCTGGTGTGGCAGGTAAGTACGCCAGCGCTTACATCACCCACTTTCTAAATTGGCTTGGGGAATAACTGTGAGTTTTCTCTTTTCTGTGGCAAGGATATAGGAGTGTTTATTTCCATGGAAATAAAATAAAAATGAAGGTATGCTGAAGGATGATGCATACAAGTGGAATAATGTATGAAGATAAATGGTTAAAAATATTTAATTGCAAAAATTCAAAAGAAAAAGCAGGGAGAAGGTTAACAACTACAAACAGGCTCTGATTTTTAGGTAGTTCCTTTTGAAAGGCTAGAAGGAGATGTCAGTTTGGTAATGAGACATTGGGAAGCAGAAGATAGGGAAAAAGAGAAAGGGAAGAAAGGTCCAGGTACAGGAATTTTGTCCAATTAACATTTTGGACCTTGTTTTGTCAAGAAACGCCACAATATGTTATAGCTCTGTTTCAGATCAGATTACTTGCAGGTCTAATAAGGTAGGTGATGACTTTGGCATTGTTTGACCTTGTTATTTAAAAGTAGAAAATTCCTTATTATGGTTTATGTCATTTTGCTTATTATTAATGTTATACTCAAATCTACCTGCTTCTTAAATAATAAAGAGATCTAAGCAAAAATTTAAAGATCATAAAATGCTTTCACTTAAAACCAATTAAGGCAGGGTATAGTAGCTCATGCCTGTAATCCCAGCACTTTGGGAGGCTGACACAGGCTGATCATTTGAGGTCAGGAGTTTGAGACCAGCCTAGCCAATATGGTGAAACCCCATCTCTATTAAAACTACAAAAATTAGCTGGTGGTGGTGCACATCTGTAATCCCAGCTTCTCAGGAGGTTGAGGCACGAGAATTGCTTGAACCCAGGAGGCAGAGTTTGCAGTGAACCAAGATCAGGCCACTGCACTCCAGTTTGAATGACAGAGCAAAACTCCATCTAAAAAAAATATCTTTTCTCACCCAATACACAAATCAGCTCTATTAGACTAACAGTGAATTAAATTTCTTAGTATAAAAGCAGTAGTAGAGAGACCTCTAATAACTAGGATTCCTAGGGCCTTTCAGGACTCATCCAGATGAGGGTTTTATTTACCTACATAGAATTAATACATCAGAATTAAGCCGATTTATTTAGAAGTCACTATATTCAGAAATAGGACCACATCCATCAATAGGATGTGGTTCATGTTCTTAGAGAAGTATTCAGGCAAGTAAACACAAATAAAATGCTACTGCTAATTGCTATAAGAAAGGTATTTGAGGCCAGGCATTGTGGTTCACGCCTGTAATTCCAGCACTTTGGGAGGTCAATGCGGGTAGATCACCTGAGGTCCAGAATTCAAGACCAGACTGGCCACATGGTGAAATCCCATCTCTATTAAGAATACAAAAATTAGTTGGGTGTGGTGGCAGCTACCTGTAATCCCAGCTATTCGGGAGTCTGAGGCAGGAGAATTACTTGAACTTACAAGGCAGAGGTTGCAGTAAGCCAAGATCATGCCATTGCACTCCAGCCTGGGAGACAGAGCAAGACTCCATTTCAAAAAGAAGAAGAAGATAAAAGAAAGTTATTTGAACTTAGCTGTTGCAAACGCTTTCTTTTAAAAAGTGCCTTTGAAGCTGATATCTGAAGAATGATTAAAAACTATCCAAGGAAGTAGGGGAAGCAAAGCTCAAAGTGAAGAGGGGAAAAAGAATAGTTTTATGGAATAGAAATAAGTTCGTAATTAAAGTGTATATGGAGAGAAGGATATGTGGTTCTTAGAAATATTTAGAAGCTGAAATTCACAGGATGTGGTGACTGATTGGATGCAGGGATGAGGGGGTGAGAGAGACACTTTAAAGATGACATCCAGGTTACCAACTTAGGCAGTGATTCAGTTCTTTCAGAACCCATAGAAATGGAAGAAGAATTTGGAGGAAGAGAGTAAATGAGTTCTGTATAGGACAATATGTTAGTAGATTACAAACTAAGTTGCTGTAATAGAGACCCCATAGAATAGAACTTACATAAGCTAGAAGTCCAGGGATGAGTAGTCTAGGGATGGTGGGATGAGGGGAGGGCTCTGCTATTGTCAACACTTGGCTTTCATTTCTAAGGTGACCCTTCAGGTTGCTCTTTTCCAGGCAGCGGAAAGGGGAGAAACGAAGTGGAGGCAAGCAGCTTCCTTTCTAAGGATGTGACACAGAATTTGAACATATTATTTCTGCTCATACCCATTGGTTTAAATTGATTGAGAAATGTAATCTATAACTGGGCAGCTATGTCTGCTTCTAAAACCATGTGCTCTCCATCCATGAAGGATTGAGTTCAGACTTAATATCCTGTCATTTAGAAAAATTGGATGAGATGTAGAAAACCATGTTATCAGACATTGGACAACAGGCACTACAGACTTGTGATCCCTGATAGATGGAAAATAGATGAGGTGAGCTCTATGTTCACTCTGGCTTTCTGTCTGGAGAAATTTCCAGAGGGTGTGAATATGAGAAAGTGACACAAAGCCTGGTGGACTCACTGAGCTGAGGAGATAGGAGTTGGGGAGCTGAGGTGGCTGGAATTGACAACACATAGTACCAAAGAGGGGGAAGCTATGCAGAAATAGGTGTTCTAGAAATATGCTTAGGGATCTTGCTGAGTGGAGGATGAAAATTCATGAGACTGGCTGAGTAACAATTTGAGAAAAAGAACAATGCTAGGGAACTCTGTGGCAAACTGTTCCCAGAGTTTGTACCATCAGCCAGAGTGGAGAGATTTCACTGAATATATAAGGCTTTCAGGGAAGCCCTGATGTGTGTGGTTAAACCAGCTGTTAATAAAGCCTGTTCTAAATTCACTCCTACAAAAGCTTAAAAATGAGCCTAACGTCTAATTTGAGAGAGATATAATTAGCAGACAAATTGATTAAAATAGCTATAATAAATATTCAGTATATTCACGTTTTAAATGAAAACATAAAATGAGGAGAGAAATAGAAGAAATCAGTCTATCAATCAAATAGACACTACAGAGGAAAATCTATATATAAGCAGAAGAGTAAAGAAGATATAGATTTTCTTCTGTAGTGTCTATTGATTTATAGATACATGATAGATAGATTTCTTCTACTCATTTTGTTTGTGTTTTCATTTAAACATTGAGCATATTGAGCAACATCTCTGTCATTTCTTGTTTCTGGATTTGTTTCTGTTGCTGAATATCTCCAAGTTAATGTTCCATTGCAAGACTCAATTTTTTACTGAATGCCAGACATAGTTTATTTTACATTGTTGATTATTAGATTTTGATGTTTTCCTTTCAGGACCATTGGGTTTTGTTCTAACAGGCAATTGTTTGTGGATTACATCGATTCTCTTAAGGCTTGTTTTCCTTTCACCTCCCTCTTTTCCTTCTGGGACTCCAAATACACACATATTAGACCATTTGATCACCACCTGTCACTTACATTCTGTTTTTTTTCTCAGTCTTTTTTTCTTTTTATGCTTCATTTTGTTTAGTTTCTCTGCAATGAGGAAGGAAGAAAATATTTAAAGAAATAGTGACCAAAATGTTCCCATATTTTGATAAAAATTATAAATACACAGATAAGTAAAGTTCAACAAACCCCAAGTCAAAAACAAATAAAAAAATCACAAAGAAAATGACACTAGAACCATCATAATTGTCTTGCTAAAAAACAATAAGAGAATTAAAAATAATGGGAAAAAGGAACAATATACATAGAATAACTAAGATAAACATCAAACTTCTAATCAGAAACAGTTTAAGCTAGCAGAAAATGGAACAACATCATTAACGTGCTGATAGAAAACAAACCAACCTATAATTTTATGTACAGTACAATATCTTTCCAAAGACAGTATCTTTTTAATACCTTTCTGGACACCTTTCTAGTAAGTGAAGATTAAATATAGATTTTCTGGTCAAATGAAAGCTAATACAATTCACTGCCATAGGAATATTTAGAAAATTTCTCAAGCAGAAGGAAAATGAAATCAGTTGAAAATATGGATTGAATTAAAGAAACAAAGAACATTACCAATGGTAGAATGTAAACAAATATAAAAATCATCATATCTTATTTTAAAACTTTTCTTTATGGCTGGGCACAGTGGCTCATGCCTGTAATCTCAGCACACTGGGAGCCCAGGGCAGGTGAATTGCTTGAGCTCAGGAGTTTGAGACCAGCCTGGGAAAAATGGTGAAGTCCCATCTCTACAAAAAAATACAACATTAGCTGGGCTTAGTAGTGCATGCCTGGTATCCCAGCTGCTTGGGAGGCTGAGGATTGCTTGAGTCTGGGAGGTTGAGGCTGCAGTGAACTGTGTTTGTGCCACTGCATTCTAGCCTGGGTGACAAAGTGAGTTAACCGTCTCCAAAAGAAAAATTCTTTAAAAAATAATTGATAGTTTCAAATGAAACAAGTATTATGATATTCATAACACAGGTAGAAATAAAACTTATGCAACCAATAACGATGAACAGGAGAAGAGGAATAGAAACGTAGTTTTGTAAGGTTCTTTTATTATGCCTGAAATGGTATGACATTACTTGATAGTTGACTATAATAAGATAAAGATGCATGTGATAACCTAGAACAATCACTGAAAACAAGGTTCTAGAGCTCATAAGCCAATAATGGAACTAAAATTTCATACTAAGAAATACATAGTGCAAGCCAAAATACAAGAAAAAGTGCATAAAAAGGTACAAAGTATAAATAAAACAAGAACACAAACAGCAACATGGTAGCTTTAAATTTAGCTATATCAATATATATCATTAATGACCTAAAAACTCCAGGATGGCCTATACAACGAATCACAAAACAATTCTTGATAAACTTAAAAGTTTGAAATCATACAGTATGTATTCTAACTGTAATAAAATTGCCCTAGAAGTTTTTATAGAAAGATATTTGGAAAATTTCCACATATTTGGAAGATATTCAGTGTATTTTTGAATAACTGATGGGTTAAGAAGAAATCATAGGAAAATTAGAAGATATTTTAATAGAAGAAAAATTTAAAGTATAGTTTATCAAAATGTGTGGGCTATAGATAAATTAGTAATTAGAAGGAAATTTACAGCATTTAATTCTTTTATTAGAGAAGACAGTTTTAAAATTAGTAATTTGTGCTTCCACCATATGAAGCTAGAAAATTAAAGAGAAATAAACTCAAAAACAAGTAGAAAGAAATAAATAATAAAGATACCATTAAAATTAATGAAATCAAAACAGGAAAAGAATAGACAAAATCAATGAAACCAAAACCTGGTTCTCTGAAAAATATCAATAATTTTGATTAACATCTCTGAATAAAAAAAAGAGAGAAGACACTATTTACTAAGAAGGAATACAAGGGGCCATCACTGTATCTTACAAATATTAAAAGGATAAAGGAATATTATGAATAGGTCAATAAATTTGGCAATCTTGATGAACTAGATAAATTTTCAAAGGGCACAAATTGCCAAAATCAGCTCAGGAAGAAATGAAAAACTTAAGTGTCAAGGTTCAAAATAAATTCCACTAATAGGCTTTTATTAGGAGAAATACCATATTTTATACAAATAATTTTTTATAGCAACTCCATTTATAATAGCCTGGAAACAACCTAAATGATCAGCAGAGGAATAAGCTGAAATGGAAATGAAAAAACTCTTCAGCAATAAACAGAAACTAACTACTGATACACACAAAATATGTATGAACCTCAAAAACATTATGCTGAGTGAAAGCTGACACAATGTAAAAGAGTACAACTGACCGTTAAACAACACGAGTTTGAACTGCACGAGTCCACTTATATTCATGGAATGCAAAACCCGCCTTTATGGGGGGCCACTTTTTTTTATATAGATGGGTGTCACAGGACTGACTGTGGGACTTGAGTATGCCCAGATTTTGACATATGCAAGGGTCTTAGAACCAAACCCCTGCATATACTGAGAGGTGACTGTTTAAAATTTCATTTATATGAAACTTTAGAAGAACCTAATTTATGCAGAAAGATCAGTAGTTGTGGAGACCAGAGGCTGATGAAATACTCTGCATCTTGATCATGGTAGTAATAACACAGATGTATGTATTCGTTAACAGTTACCAAACTATACAGTTTAAATGGGTGCATTTTGTTGTATATAAACTATTTCTTTATAAGTTGACTTTAGAAAAACAATAAAAGAAAATTTGGTAGGGATGCGTGTTGGGGGTGAGGAACATGGAAAGTTCTTTCATAAAAAGAATAAGGAATGAATGGATGCTGAGGTCTTTGCTACAGGCATAAGAAGGTGTCTGGCTAGGTTTTGAAATCAAAAGAAAAATCTGTTTTGGAGAAACAGATTTGAGGCCATCTGCATATAGATAGTACTTGAAATTTAGGACTAGATGAGATTACCTAAGCTCATCTAGGGACAAATGTAGATATGAAAGAGAATAGAGCCCAGGACAGAATCCTAAGGGTGAATAATATAAAAGTTGGCACAGGAAGAGGAACCTACAGAAAGGTAGGATAAAAAAAATTGAAGTTAGGATGCTGAGGGGCACTCTGTTTCCACAAAGAAGAGGTCCGCATTGCCAAGTACTTCTGACCTGATCTACAATGTATCCACTGAGTTTAGTTATTTAGGTCTCTAAATAGATGATGGGAACCCTAGGGTTAATGGTGACTTATTTGTTCATTTGCTTTTAGTAGGGAGGCGTGGCAGCATGTTTAAATGCTGATAAGAATAAAGCAATAGGGAAGGACAGTGAAGGGATGGGATCTGGAGACAATGTGGAGAGATTAGCCTTAGATAAGAAGAGGAACATTCTTTCTATTTTATCAGGATTGAAGGTGGAAGGAATAGGTGGGGATGCATTTGGGTTAGTGCATTTGATGCCAGAAAGTTGAGAGGACGCAAAAAATCTACTGAGGCCTCTTCCAAATCTGAGATGCTATATTTGTGCTCTGCAGGGCACTATGCAGATTGGAGAATGGGCAGAGAGAACAGCTTAAATTCTTTCCAACTAATAGTCTTTCTATTGGTCTGATTCTGTAACAGGGATGATCGACATTTTACATGGAATGGGTTTAAGGCTCCTTGCTTTGGGACATCACACACCTTTTATGGTGAGAGATGTTTATTTTGCTTATTTGTTTGGAAAACACATCTCACTCTTTAGGAATTAAAAAGAGCTGGTGGACTAACTTGAGATGCGTATGTTTGTTTTCAGCACATTGGCATGGCTCATAACTACAGGAATAGCAGTCAGGCTGTGCAAGCTGTCCGTGATGCTGGCTATGAAATATCTCTAGGTTTGATGCCTAAGTCAATAGGGCCCTTAACATTTGTGTTCACAGGAACTGGTAATGTTTCTAAGGTAAATTTTACCTGACTTCCTTCTGTAAACAATCCAACACTCTGAAACTAACCCTAACGATGTGGGCAGGCATTTTGTGGGTATTTCAAATGGACTGAATGAAATTTTGGTACTTTTCTTACCAACGTTTTTTTCTCATAGTGAAAAGTAGTAATGATCCAAATATGTGTATATGTGTATATGTACGTGTGTGTATATATATATGTGTGTGTGTGTGTGTGTGTATGTATATATGTGTGTGTATACACACATACATAGACACATGTAGTTTTTAGTTGATAGCTAGGTATCTGAGTCTTGGAATACTTTTTCTTTCTTTGTTTTTCTTTTTTTAAAAGAGATAATTCAGCTGGGTGCAGTGGCTCATACCTGTAATCCCAACACTTTGGGAGGCCAAGGCAGGTGGATCACCTGAGGTCAGGAGTTCGAGACCAGCCTGGCCAATATGGTAAAACCCCATCTCTACCAAAATTGCAAAAATTAGCCAGGCATGGTGGTGCACACCTGTAATCCCAGCTACTAAGGAGGCTGAGGCAGGAGAATCACTTGAACCTGGGAGGCGGAGGTTGCAGTGAGTCAAGATCACACCACTGCACTCCATCCTGGGTGACAGAGCGAGACTCCGTTTCAAAAAAATAAATAAATAAATAAATAAAAGAGATAATTCATTGTTAATAGCAAAAAGGTCTGTTCTGAGTGTGATCTGTTTTACCTTCATTACCAATATGTCCAAGAGTTTAAAAGTGACCTCATGATGTCCATTTTTCAAGACTACTCAGAGTTTTGCAAACAAGATATTAAGAAGATTCATTTATAAGACTGGAATTCATACTTTCTTCCTTCTCTGGTGGTTTTAAGAATATATTTGTAATCTCCTATAGAAACCTGTAATTGTAGAACATTTCCTTCTTCAAAGAAAATATTTTACAAAAAGAGTATCATTATTCATATTATATTGTGAGGTAAGCATCCAATTATTTCCTTTGTAGAAAATATAGTTTTCCCATTTGAAATAATTTCTACAATGGATTTAAAATAAATGGAAATATTTTATTGTGCCCTCATTTCTAAATACTCTGATCAATTCTCTGAGTGACTTAAATAAAAAAGAAAAAACATTAAAGCCCCTTCTAATGTGTGCCGTTCAAAGATTAATAAAAGCTAGCTATCAGACTGCTTGCAAGCAGCTCATCTCTATTTCTATGTTGCAATTCTGGTTGTAGGGAAGGCAAGTGGAGCTATATAATTGCTGGAAAAATGATCAGAATCTTTGTAGAAAACCATGTTGGTTCTTTTTCTATTGATTTTTTTGATTTTTATTCACTTGTTATTTGTAGGGAGCCCAGGCAATCTTTAATGAGCTACCTTGTGAATATGTGGAACCCCATGAATTAAAAGAAGTTTCCCAAACTGGAGGTAAAGGACAGGGGATGACTAACTTTTAATGTTTTTAACAGTCTTTGTGTTATAATATTTTATCACCATAAATTTTTTGTCACCCACTTTACTAATTTCTTTCTCCTTTGCAAGACCTCAGAAAAGTGTACGGGACTGTGTTAAGTCGCCATCATCATCTTGTCAGGAAAACAGATGGTGTGTATGATCCTGCAGAGTATGACAAACATCCTGAGCGCTACATAAGTCGTTTTAATACTGATGTGAGTATGGTATTCAGCTTTTAAGTTGGTTGCTTATGATACAGTGTAGGAAGGCTGTTTTCAAAAAGAGAAATTATGAATGGTACATTGGCTTTCAGTTTTCCTGTTGTAAGTTCTTTGGGTATCATGAGTTAGCCTTTGGAGCTGTTGTCTTTTAGGGGAATTTTAGTGCTTTTTGTGGTTTCTGTGGACATACTCTTTGTTTCACTGTCTCCATTTCTGCCTCAGGTCTACATGTGCCCAATAGCTCTAAGCCATTTCCTGTGGGTTACTGTTTTCTGTATTTATCCCGGACTAGTTAGCACTGTGAGCAGAGCACAGTGCATATGAGGTTTGGTCACAGGTCTCAAGATGGCCACAAATTACAACCATAATCTCAGCCAGCAATCTTGAAATGCATGCCATTGATTCAGGTGGTGAGGGTGACATAGTGTGCCTGTATAAGTGCAGACCATCCCCACTGTATGAAAAAGTTAGTACTTACAAATCAAATCCTTTGATGGGACACACTGGCCTTATCTTAAAATAAATAAAATATATTTGTGTGTTCTGTAGTAATTGGCCATGCAACAATCTTCCCCCAGATAAACTAACCAACCAAGAAATAAATTTTTAAAAATGCATGCATTTATTGTGAAAAGGAATTCTTTAAATAATTTTAAATATGTTTGACCAATGTAGCATTTTTAGATTTTGGTAGGAAGTTTAGCCCTTATGTCATGCACATCATGTTAGAAGAATTTTTACCTTCAGTTTGAGATGTTTGAAGAAGAAAAATTATGAACATAGTTTCAAACTGAAAAATTTTGAATCTAGGAAATCTTTATTCCTTCTCATTTCTCCAGTCACAGAAGTATTGGTGATTGGATGCATCCTAAAACTGATAATGAGCTAGTTACCATGTATGCATGTGTGTAGCACATTTCTCCATGGAGCTTACAGATGTTATCTGATTTAATCTTCACAGCATTCCTTTGAGGAATGGGGTGTGTATTATCCCCATCTGGCAGGTAAGAAAAATAGAGCCCAGAGAAGTTGAGGGAGCATGATTTAGGTCATACCCTACAGGTAGTAGAGCTGGAAATAGAATTTTAGGTCCACTGTTTTGTGTGTGTGTGTTTTTTGTCCTTTTTCTTTGGCATGCAGTACATTATAGAATGAACATATTAATATATTTATGGTCATATATTTCCCTGTCATGGCGTAATTCTACACTGAAATCTGAGGGTAGAATTATTATTTTTACCTCAAAATATGGACACCGACCTGGACAATAAGAAAATCAATTAGAAGTTATATTTAATTATTTCTCATAGACTTTACTGATAGCTCTCTTTTCAATATACTGTATTAAAATGGGTTATTTTCTATTTTCCTGAACCTGGAACTTGCATTACAGATTGCACCCTATACAACTTGCTTAATTAATGGAATCTACTGGGAACAAAACACTCCTCGCCTCCTAACTCGCCAAGATGCTCAGAGTCTCCTGGTTCCAGGCAAGTTCTCAGCTGCTGGTGTGGAAGGCTGCCCTGCACTACCACACAAGTAAGCACTCTACTTCAGCAACGACGGCAGTTTTTACCAGCTGCTTCCATTATTAGAGGATCAAAGAATGTGATGTCCCCTCATATCATAGGACTTGATTTCTAATGACTACGTCTCTGCCTTATCTTTCTTGACCTCTTGGCAGTACTCGACATTGTTAACCATCCCTCCTTCTTTTTTAAAAATTTTATGTATTTATTTTTAGAGATGGGGTCTTGTTTTGTTTCCCAGGCTGGTGTAAATCTCTAGGCCCTAAGCAGACCTCATGTTTTGGCCTCCCAAGGTGCTAGGATTACAGGCACGAGCCACCAGGCCCAGCCCATCCCCACTTCTTGAAACACTCTTCATTTGATTTCTGTGATGCTGCATGCAGCTCTGAAACCCTCTCCCCAGAGAAATCTTCTCTTGCATCTCCACTCCCATCTCTATCTCTAGTTTGTTACTCTTTTTTGTTTTGAAGTTTCTCATTTATTTTCTCGTGTTTATGATTTTTCTCCCTCTTCCTAGAACTTAATCTCCTTAAGTATCGGGGGTTTGTTTATCTGGGCCACAAGCACCTAGTGATGTATAATGGGCATTAAATAATTGTTAAATATTGAATGAATTAATTAATCAACAAATATTTGTGGAGGAGTAAAAGATATGTTTGCTTTTCTAGGCATGTAACTGGCATCCAGTAAATGCCAAGGGAATGCTAGGAGCAACAACATCACCGGGGTTTAGAAGAAAGCAGAAGCTGGGCTCAGCAAACCTTAAAGGGAAAAGTGAGGAGAACAAGAATTCCAAGTGAAAGGATTGGTGCTTAATAAATACGGAGGCAACAAAGCATATATAGGAAGCTAAATGTGACAGTCTAGCTCTACTGTGGTAATTGGAGATTGTGCAGAAAAATTGTAGTCAACCCTTTTGAATGCTGGACTGAGACTGTTGTTCATAATTCTAGAGGTTTCTGTGTAATCACATGTAAAACTATGCAATACTAAACAGGGTGGAGGTAGCATAGCTGAACTTTTCTGAGTTATTTAGAGATAGCTAACTACTTTAACTTTAGTCTATTAATGAGCTCCCTAGGAAAGCGATTTTCTGCTTTTTTCTCTTTTCTTTCTTTTTTTCTTGTGGAGATTAAAAGTCATATTGGGAAGAGTTTCTGTATCACAGAACAGTGCAAAAGAATGAGATATAGAAAAAATGCCCAAGAGCCTGGAAAATATTTGGCATCCACATTGAAAATTGTTCCAAAGTTCTCTCTTTTTTAGTCTTACTGGAGACTTCAGAATTCCATCCTCTCATCTAAGTATTGATGTTATTTTCAGACTTGTGGCAATATGTGACATTTCAGCTGACACAGGAGGGTCTATAGAGTTTATGACTGAGTGTACAACAATAGAGCGTCCTTTTTGCATGTATGATGCAGACCAGCATATTATTCATGACAGGTGAGTTTGCTAAAGTTGTTTTATGGTACTCATCACTTAGTTACATTGATGTACTACTCTAAAATTCTCAATATTTTACGTTTTCATGAAGCTATGAAAATTTGGAGAGAAATAAACATACAAAAATTTGGTAAAAAATTGCAAATTTGAGCACTTAAATATATATAGTATGTGAGTGTGTGTGTGTGTGTGTGTGTGTGTGTGTGTGTGTATATAATATTTAAATGGGAGACAGGTTGCTGAAGAAGGAAAATGTTTTGTTTGAAACGTTTTGTTTATTTTCTCATATACTTTTATACAAAATTACAAATGATAATGAAGCAAATATAATGGAGTAGACATCGAGAAAGGTCAGAACTTACGAGTAATGTTTTGTGTTTCTAAATAAACAATATTGCTTTTCTTAGCGTTGAAGGCTCTGGGATCCTGATGTGTTCTATTGACAATTTGCCAGCACAGCTCCCAATTGAAGCCACGGAGTGCTTTGGAGACATGCTTTACCCTTATGTTGAAGAAATGGTAAGCAGACTGGTAATATCAGTAACAACTCTGTGGCTTTAAATAGAATAATGGAGTCATTCTGTGAATGTTCTGGTCTTCTAAGAAATCTGTTGTGAAATGAAATGCCAGCCCTTCCCTGAAATACTTACTGATACTATTTTATTTGACATATTCTGCTTACTTATGTCTTGGGGGTTATGATAATATCACTGTCTTCATGCTTCATTACAATTACATCACTCTCCCATTATAGGTATTTTATTAAGAACGCTCATGAGATAAAACATGCTTTATTTTTGATTCTTTGCTGTCTAGGTCAGTTCATGTTGGGAGACTCTTATTGTGCCATAATAACCAGATCTGGAAAATTCGAAATATAGAACATTTTATTGGGTTCTGGTCACTAATGGTTAGTTAAGTGACAGCTTATGTTGAGGTCATGTATTTTTCTTCTGTGATCAGTGATTAGCTAATGAAATACCATGTTATCTATATTCCATTTTCTTTATCCAAGAAAATTATTTTTTATTTCAGTTTTTATCCTAAGCATTCATAGCCATCCTGCTTTATTTTTATTCCAGACTGTCTGCCTCTGCCAGTGATTCTAATATAAAGAATGGCTCTTGTTCTTTTCATCTGTATCTTCATTCATAAGCTCTCACACTATTAATAGAACAATAGTTAGTGGGGCAAGAATAAATGAAATTTTCAGTCTGTGATCATCTTTTCTTTCAAATAGTATTCCATTTGGACCTTTCTTTTTCCTATTGGAATATATCAACAAGGAGATGTAGCAGGCTTGAGAAAATGCAGGCAGCAGGCACTGTCACAGTTAGACATGATATTGCACCTACTATGTACAGGAAGTGTTCAAAGTACTAAATATATTTTAATTTTAAGTACTCATGAGAACCATATTAGGTAAGTACCATCATTAAACCCATTTTACATATTATAAAACAAATACAGGGGAGTTAAGGATGAGAAGTGTTGCTTATGCAGTTAGTGCTGGATCGTCTTTGTGTCTGGAGTTGGTGCTGAGGGATTAAAGAAGCAGGGGAAGGAGAGTACAAATGCTAGACTTTTCTGGAGACATCAACTTGCTTTATGGCCTTGAGCAGGACACTCACTTCCTTTCTGACCCTTAGATATTTTATCAGTATCATGAGGTGCTTGCAATGAATACAGAATCTTAACAGTTTCTCCAGTTCTAAAATTCTGTAATAGTAAATGTTTAAGTGGCCAAACTGTATGTATATAAAAAATGCAGTAGTGTATTTACCAAGATGTTTGCCATTTTTGATACTCTTCATTCATTTCCCGTTGGCATCATTTCCCTGCAGACTGAATAACATAATTTATCACTGCTTATAATACAAGTTTGCTAGTGACAGATTTTCTTAGTTGTCCTGTATCTGAAAATGACTTAATATTGTCTATTCTGCTAATCAGACTTTTCTGTGCATTTTTCATTTCTGATGTTTTATTTTCAGCTCTAAAATTTCCATTGGGTTCTTTTAAAAAAAATTTTGTTTTGGTATTTTCTGTTTCTCTGCAGAGAGTTTCTATCTTTTCATTAGTTATGGGTGTTTTTTTTTTTTTTTTAATACATGAAACATAGTTATAAAAACCATTTTACAATCTTAAATCTCATACTTCCAACTTTCTGGGTCAACTTGGGGTTGAACTTTATTAATTCTCTTTTCCCTTGAGAATGGGTCATAGTCTTCTGGTTTTCATAAATGTAATAATTTTGGATTGTGGCCTGGATGATGTGGATATTATGTACATTTATCAAATGCATTTTCTGTATTCATTGAGAAGATTATTTTTTCCTTTGCTCTGTTAATATGTGAATTGTGTCAGTTGGTTTTCAAATATCAAACTAATTTCACATTCTTAAGATAAATCACACTTTGTTGTATGTTAATCTTTTATTCATGACTAGGTTCAGATTGCTAAGTAATATACCAAAATATATTAATCTATTTTACCATTGGTAGACATTTGGGATTGTTCTCTTTTTGGGGCTTTTACTAATAATTCTACTATAAAGATTTTTTGACATGTCTTTCAGTGTGTATATATATATACATATACATTCAGATGGCAAGAGAAAGAAAGAAAGAGCATTCAAATAGGAAGAGAGGAAGTCAAATTATCCCTTTATGCAGATGACATGATTCTATGTCTAGACAACTCCATAGTCTTAGCCCAAAAGCTCCTTAAGCTGATAATTTCAGCAAAATTTCAGGATACAAAATCAACATACAAAAATTATTAGCATTCCAATACACCAACAATCGTCATCTGAAATTTTATTTATTTGAGTCTTTTCTCCTTAGGCAGACTAGGGGTTGATTTTGTTTACCTTCTCAAACAAACTCTTCATTTCATTTATCTTTTGTATTTTTAAAGTCTCTATTTTGATTATGTCCTGTCTAACCATCATTATTTCTTTATGTCTACTAATTTTGGGTTTAGTTTGTTCTTGTTTATCTTGTTCCTTGAGGTGCAACATTAGGTTATTTGAGATCTTTGTTCTTTTTTGAGATAAGCATTTAAACATTGCTATAAACTTCCTTCTGAGTACTGCTTTTGCTGTATCCCATAGGTTTTGGTATGTTGTGCTTTTATTTTCATTTGTCTCTAGAAATTTTTAATTTTCCCTTTTAATTTCTCTATTAACTCATTAACTGATCAGGAGTATGTTGTTTAATTTGCATGTGTTTGTAGTTTCCAGTTTCTCTTGTTGTTGATTTCTAGTTTCATACCATTGTGATAGAAAACAATACTTTATATGATTTCAATGTTTTTGAATTTGTTAAGACTTATTCTGTGGCCTGCCGTATAGCCTATTCTGGAGAATGTGCTATATGTATTAGAGAAGAATCCGTATTCTGGTGCTGCTGGATAAAAAGTTCTGTATTTATCTATTAGGTCTATTTTGTCTAAAGTGCAGATCAATTCCAGTATTTTCTTATTAATTTCTTTCTGGTTATCTTTCCATTTTTGATAAAGGGGGGTATTGAAATCTCCTACTATTATTGTTTTGCTATTTTTACCTTTATGTTGATCAATATTTGCTTTATATGTTTAGGTGTTCAAATGTTGTGTGCACATGTATTTATAGTTGCTTTGTCTTCTTAATGACTTGAGCTCTTTAATAATGACTTCTTTGTCTCTTGTGAGAGTTTTTGAGTTTAACTCTTTTCTATCTGGAATAAACATTGCCCCTGGCCTCTGTTGGCTATTATTTGATTTGCATGAAATACCTTCGTTCATCCCTTCTGAGGTATGAAAGCCTATGTGCATCCTTAGGGTGCAAGTGTGTCTCTTGTGGGCAGCGCATAGTTAGAGCTTATTTGTTTTCCTCCTTTCAACTTTTGTTTTAGGTTCAGTGGCTACATGTGCAGTTTTGTTACATGGGCAAATTGCATGTCACTGGGATTTGGAGTAAAAATGAATTCATCACTCAAGTAGTAAGCATATTACCCAATAGGTAGTTTTTCAATCCTCACCCTCCTCCCAGCCTGCACCCTCAAATACACGCTGGTTTCTGTTCCCTTCTTTGTATCCATGTGTACTCAGTGTTTAGCTCCCACTTGTAATTGAGAACATGTGGTATTTGGTTTTCTGTTTCTAAATTAATTTGCTTAGGATAATGGCCTTCAGCTGCATCCACATTGCTGCAAAGGACATGATTTCATTGCTTTGTTTGTTTGTTTGCTTTGCTGTTTTGTGAGAGAGTCTTGCTTTGTCACCCAGGCTGGAATGTAGTGGCACCATCTCAGCTCACAAACCTCTGCCTCCTGGGTTCATGCAATTCTCTTGCCTCAGCTTCCCAAGTAGCTGTGATTATAGGTGCCTGCCACCATGCCTGGCTAATTTTTATATTTTTAATAGAGGCAGGGTTTCACCATGATGGCCAGGCAGGTCTTGAACTCCTAACTTCAGGTGATCTGATCACCTTGGTCTCTCAAATTGCTGGAATTACAGCTGTGAGCCACTGTGCCTGGCCTATTTCATTCTTTATTGTGGCTACATAGTATTCCCTGGTATATATGTACCACACTTTCTTTATCCAATCTACCCCTGATGAGTATCTAGATTAGTTCCATATCTTCGCTATTGTGAATAGTAGAGCTTTGTTTTTTTAACCCATTCAGCCATGCTGTGTTTTAATTGGACAATTTCATCTTTTTTAAAAAAATTTATTTATTTTACTTTAGGTACATACTATATCTGGCATTTCTCCCCATGTTATCCCTCCCCACCCTCCCCTCCCTCCCCACATCCTGCTGTCTCTCCCCTACCCCCCCCAACTGCCCCCGGTGTGCGATGCTCGTCTCTGAGTCTACTTGTTCTTGTTCTTGTTCAACACCCACCTATGAGTGAGAACATATGGTGTTTGGTTTTCTGTTCTTGTGTCAGTTTGCTGAGAATGATGGTTTCCAGATTCATCCAAGTCCCTACAAAGGACATGAACTCATCATTTTTTATGGCTGTGTAGTATTCCATGGTGTATATGTACCACATTTTCTTTGTCCAGTCTATCATTGATGGGCATTTGGGTTGGTTCCAGGTCTTTGCTATTGTACACATGGCTGCAAAGAACATACGTGTTCATGTGTCTTTATAGTAGAATGATTTATAGTTCTTTAGGTATATACCCAGTGATGGGATTGCTGGGTCAAATGGAATTTCTAATTGTGGATCATTAGTAATTAGGATATGTTAAGGACTTAACTACTGCCATTTTGTTAATTGTTTTCTGATCGTTTTATAGCTTATTTGTTTTTTCTTCCTCTCCTGTTTATCATTGTGATTTAGTGATTTCCTTTAGTGCTAAATTTTTGTTCTTTTATCTTTATCATTGTATATCTGCTTTAGTATTTTGCTTTGTGGTTACCACAAGGCTTACATAAAACATAGTTATAATAGACTACTTTATACTAATAACATCTTAAATTCAGTTGCATGCAAAAACTCTAGACTTCTACCCTCCTGCCAGCATGTGTGTATATATGCATATAGCATATATATATAATTTTATATTCGTATGTACATATATATATATTTCTTTTTTACCTTTCTGAATTGGGTGCAACCAGTTAATATTTTTTAATGTCACAATTTACATCTTTTAAAATTACTTATTTCTTAATACTTTATTGTAGCAATCATTATTTTTGACTGTTTTGAATTTTAACCTTCATCCTAGGGTTATGTATACATATAATTTGCAGAGTGCCATAGCAATATTGGGGTATTCTGGATTTGATTATATATCTACCTTTACCAGTTAATTTTGTACTTTTACATGTTTTCATATTAGTAATGTTCTTTTTTTCTACTTGAAAAACTTCCTTAAACATTTTTATAGAGCAGCTCTAGTAGTGAGGAATTCCCTAAACTTTTTCTTTTCTGGGAAAGAGTTTATTTTTTCTTTTCTTCTGAAGGAGTGCTTTGCTGTGTATAACATTTTTGACTGACAGTTTTCTGTGCATTAGCACTTTGAAGAGATCATCCCATTCTCTCCTGGCCTGCAGGATTTCTACTGAGAAATCTGCTGATAGTCTAATGGAGATGCCCTTACATGTAACATGATATTTTTATCTTGCTACTTTTAATATACATTTGTCTTTCGTTTTGACAGCTGATTATAATGTGCCTCAGAGGGGACATCTTTGGGTTGACTCTGTTTGAAGATTGTTGAGCTTCATGTATCTGGATATTTATGTCTTCCAAGACTTGAAACATGTTATTTTTCATTTATCAAAAATTTATATTTATTTATTTTAAAGGTTTTTTGTTTTTTTAAAAAAAATCTATATTGTTCTTTTATTTTTTGAACATATTAATCACAATTTAGACTTATATTTGTGAAATCCAATACACTTCTTGGTTCTATTTATGTTCCCTGTTGTTTTCCTTGGTTTTTATGGTTTTCAGTAAATTCTTATTTTTCAATATATTTATTTATTTTTGGTTGAATACTAGACATTGCATATTCAAAATTTTAGAGACAATTAGAGGATGTTATGTGATTTTCCTCCAGATAATATATTCTTTGTTTTGGGTAGGGAAATAGACAAGGATAAAGGTTAGGAGAAATTCATCTAAATTCAGTTAGGATGAAGTAATTGAAATCTAGGTTTCAGTTCTTTGGAGAACTGACCTTTTACAAATGACCATTTATTTTAGAATGTATTATGCTTTAGATACATGAAAACAATTTTCTATTTATTTTAATACAATAAATAAATTCTGTTACCAGCACCTTCTAGGTACATTTTTCTTGTTCTTAGTTGGCTGAGTGAGCTAGATCTTAACCTATAGTTAGGGAGGAAAGATTGTCTCATTGGCCCTTCACTGTTCACCAGAAGCAGCAATGCTGATTTATATTCCCATCATTTCTTGACAGTATATTTAAGAATTGGGTCCCTTGAGAGGGATTAACTTATATGCCCATTACTTTTTGGCAGTGTATTCAAGAGTTGGATTCCTTGGGAGAAAAGAGGATGACTAGAAGGTTGCTGATATGTTAATATGAGACATCTTACTATTTGTGTTGTCTCTTTGACTCAATTTTGCAAGATAATGTGAAGAGAGTGTGAATGACTTTCAAGGTCTACTTGGTCAAGTCACTTTGGCTACTACTGTTGAAATGCTGATGTGCCTATACATATAGCTACTAATACTGATTTGAGGGAGACCCCTTACTGCAGAAGTGGTGGCCTTGCTGAGTGGAAAAGCCTCATTCTTTACTCCTAATAGAACAGATTGAACTTGTGGAATCGGGCACAGGCCCTTGAAGGGAGGACTGTAGCTCTAAAACTTGTGAAGATATTTGACAACATGCTTAATAGGATACATTTAACTGGTTGGAAAGGATAAGCTTTTTTGTGTTCACAGCAAGCAAAGATGATTGTAATCCAATATTAGTTTTAAAATTGGAACTTGTGCTGAAACATCGCTCCTGAGGGCAGAGTTGATTGCTTGTAGAAGACTTCTATTACCAATCTCGGTGATCCTTAGAAAACTATTTCTTAAATTATTTTTCCCCTGATTAATATTTTAATATGGATACAAGCACCAAGAGGCCTTCTTTGTGGTGTCATTTGTCTCTTATAAATCTCATTTTTCTTTCAGATATTATCAGATGCGACACAGCCTCTTGAAAGTCAAAATTTTTCTCCTGTGGTGAGAGATGTAAGTTACGAGAATATCTTTTTCATAAATGTATTTTTTCTACTACCATTTTTGCTCTCCTCTCTCTGTCTTTCTCCCTCTCTCCATCTTTGCCATTCTGTCTCTTCTCTGTCAGTCATGAGACCATGTTTGTAGGACTAAAATGTAAATACTAAAATGTCTTGTGTCATATGCATTTAGGCAGTGATTACATCCAACGGTACATTACCTGATAAATATAAATATATCCAGAAACTCCGGGAAAGCAGGTAAGTATTGATCACATTCTCTTGTTTTATATATTTATTCTTACCTGGGAATTGATGAGTGTTTTTAATGCTTTAATGAGCGTTCTTAATATTAGGTTTGTGCAATATATAAATTTTGATAATGTTTGAAAATGTAGGAAATCCAAACTAAGTGGCCGGCTGAAACCACTGTGGCTGTTTCCCCCTAAACAGTAGTATAGCATAATTTTGGCTTTCTAATATCCTATGTAGATGTGTGGGTAAGCAAGCAAAAATCCAAAAGGATTGTCCTTCAGGTAGCTTCTTGTTCTTTCTCCAGCTTTTATGCATGGTCATGCCTCGGTTATTTTCTCAAAAGGAAAATAAGCACACTAACCTTTCCGTGGTGCTTTCAGTTTGGGTTTCAGTTGAGGGTTTGGATTCTCTTTTGTTTAATATAATGTTTAGGAAAGTGAATTCGTGGTTACAAATTAAGAGAGTAGTGAATAAACAATTGATGAAAATAAGAGGTAGTTTTCTCCAGGGATTCTTATTAGGGGGAAGATGCCAAAAAGTAATGTAGCAAATCTACTCAAGAGAACAGTTACCTTAGAAAGGTCTTTAGCTAAGGCCCTTGTTTCCTTAATTGATTTTACTATTTAAAGTTTGAAAACGTTGATTTTATTTTTTTGGAATGTTCCAGTCTCCTCCAGCTGATTGTCCTTGATCTATGTTTATATCTACTCTGCTGGTCTATTCACGTTAAAAAAGGGACCCATTGAAGTCTCAGGAGAAACCAGAGTTAGGGAAACAAAACAACACAACACAACTGTCTTACTGTCTTTTTCAGTGGTTCTACCTATAAGCAGTAAACAAAGAGATCTGCCCAGATCAAGCCTACTATACTTAGGACTTTTCCATATGTGCTGGTGTGATTATAGTTACTTTTACTTTATTTTTTTAAAGTTTTTTAATTTTTTTTGAGATAGAGTTTCACTCTTGTTGCCCAGGCTAAAGTGCAATGGCGTGGTCTTGGCTCACTGCAACTTCCAACTCCTGGGTTCAAGTGATTCTCCCACCTCAGCCTCCTAAGTAGCTGGGATTACAGGTGCCCACCACCACACCCAGCTAATTTTTATGTTTTTAGTAGAGACAGCGTTTCACTATGTTGGCCAGGCTGGTTCCAAACTCCTGACCCCAGGTGATCCACCCCCCATGGCCTCCCAAAGTGCTGGGATTACAGGCGTAAGCCACCACACCTGATCGATTATAGTTACTTTTGAATGTGTCAGTGAAATATTCTGGCATCAAACACTAAGTATTTAATTGTTTTTTTTTTTCTTTTTTAAGAGAAGCTAGCTCTATAACCCTATAGGAGAGTTTCTTACGGGTAAAACTTCATATGTTTGTTTTTCATAGCTCTGTTTTGATTCTCATTATCTGATGATCTTTTATATTACTGATACTAATGACATGTCCAACATGACTGATCGTGATGGTATCTTCTGTCTTATGTGTCATATTTCATGTAGCAGCAGGTTTACTTGGCTCCAGTTGCTAGGACTTGCTGCCCTCTTTCTCTGATGGAATCTTGTGCCAATATACTGATAGCAAAGGTTGCATTTTGAAAGCAAATTTACTGTGTATTGAACCCTGCCTTATTCTTCTGTTCTTTTCATTACTTAGCATAGTGATTATTAACCTGGAGTCTGGGGTCTGGGGATACTGATGGGCTGGACAGTATTAGAATCTAGAAGTGAGTGAGTGTTTTGAGTGTTTGGTATTTGGACATCAAAATATTGTTTTAATTATACAAACGATAGAAAATATTGTTAGACAGAATATATAATAACCAAATAATAGTGGCTCTCTTTGGGAGGTGAAATGGGAGAACAGTACTAGTTAAAGGAGACCTCTTCACATCAGTAGTATGTATGTTGGGGGTATAGAGGGACAGGATCTTTTATACTTATTTTTTTTAAATTTATTTAAAATTAATGAAAATGTTTGTGAGTTAACATTCGAGAGACATTAAAAGAGACTAAAGAGTCTAAATAACAGAGCGTACTTCAGTCCCGGGCACCAGACCTTTTCCATAGTTTTGTGTTGATATCGGAGAATTTGATTCAAAAAATATTTAATGAGTAAATTCCATATTTAAGACAAAATGTGCTGAACATTAATGGGTTTGTAAAGATGGGTAAGTCTTAGATGCTGCCTTTGAGGTCATAGTTAGTGGGAAAGAAAGTCATCTGTCCAGAAGATATTAATATAAATCCAGTAGAATAAACTGTTCAAGAATTAAAATAATATCTAACACTAGTCTTTGGTTTCTATATTTAACCCATGACATTTGTGATTCAAAGTCATGGTTTTGACTATTTTCAAGTGACCCTAAAGATATGTGACAAAACAATGATGAATAATAATAATCCCTTCCTCAAAGTGTTGTCTTCTGGGATTGTGGTGAGGAATAAATACAGCTTCTAAGATAAAGCCCCTAGCATGATTTTGAATCACATCTTCTGGAAGGATAAAATATGAGACCAAGTTACTCAATCATAAGTAAGCCAAGAAAAGGTCCAGCATCTGTACTTTATTAGTAATACTGGGGATTCATGAAATACATGTATACATCTCTAGGTATACATCTCAGAGATGTCAGGTCTATTGCTCTTCATTGGACAAAATGTAAAATAATTAAAGAAATATGTTGGTATAGGGGACTCATTCATATTGAGATTCTTATTTTAAGTAATGTGGAGAGAAATTGTTGCTTCATTATCTAGGTTTTAGTATGGTTAGAGGACAGCAAGATTCTGTTATTTAAAAACAATAAAATTTTAATTAGTCCCTTCTCTTCTTTTTACTTTATTTTATTTTAACAGAGAACGTGCTCAGTCACTTTCGATGGGCACCAGGAAAAAGGTTTTGGTTCTTGGATCTGGCTATGTATCTGAGCCCGTACTAGAATATTTATCAAGAGATGACAATATAGAAATAACAGTAGGTAAATATGCCCTAGTTTTTGAAGAAGAAAAATATATTTTATAACATGTTGATTTCTAAATTTTAGAAGACTACTTAGCTTTTAAAATTTGAAAGTCTATTTTTGGAGATGTTAAAATATATTTTACTTTGACATATCTAAAAATGTGACTTTTAATTCTTGAAATAGGCTCTGACATGAGGAATCAAATTGAACAGTTAAGGAAGAAATATAATATCAATCCTGTTAGCATAGACATTTGTAAACAAGAAGAGAAGCTGGGCTTCTTGGTGGAAAAACAGGATCTTGTTATCAGGTCAGTATCTGGCAAGAAATGAGTTTCATTTTTTTGTTGTTATTTCTTTTCTCTTATTTTTCTCTTACTTTTTCTTTCCTCCTCTCTTCATACTCTTTGTAAATAAACTTTTTAATTGAAGTATGGATCCAGAAGGTGCACAAATCATAAGTATATAGCTCAATGAACTTTCACAAAGTGAATACACTCTGTGACGATCATTCATATCAAGAAGCAGAATATTAATAATTCCCCAGAAGCCCTCCTGGTGCCTCACTTAACCCATCCTCTAAGGGTAAACACTATCCTGGTTTCTGACATATAGTTTTGCCTGCTTTCAAACTTCATATAATTGGAATCATTCAATGTGTCCTCATTCGTGGCTGCCTTCTTCCATTCAATGTTGTGATTATGAGAGTCATTTATGCTATTGTCTGAAATGATAGTTTATTCATTCTCATTGCAGTGTAGTATTTCATTATGTGAATATACCATTGTTACTTATTTGACTACTATGGATATTTAGGTTGTTTCTGGAGTTTGGCTATTATAAGTCACACTGCTATACACATTTCAGTATTTGACTTTTGGTGACCATTTCACCAAACAGTAATTACACTTTTCTGTTGGATATATCCTTAGAAGTGGGTTTGCAGGTCATAAGGTATTCATATTTCATATACTTTAGTGTCTGTTTTATCCTTTGGACTTATAAAACTAAAATGAAAAAGTAGATTATTTAGCCTTACTACAGTTTTAAGTCTCATCATAGCAACGAATCTTGAAATAGAGTGTAACTAACAAAAATGCAGATCTAACATCTAGATACAGAGTTACATGAGATTTACTGGATAACTAAATTTGGTTTTGACATGAGTACATATGAACACAAAGAAAGGAACAATAGACATCAGGGCCTGCCTGAGGGTAAAATGTGGGAGGAGGGTGAGGATCAAAAAACCACCTGTCGGGTACTATGCTTATTACCTAGATAATGAAATAATCTGTGCGCCATACTCCCATGACATACAGTTTACCTATATAACAAGCCTGCACATGTATCCCTGAACCTTAAAGTAGTTAATAAATAAATAAATACATTTGGTTTTGAGATGTCAAAGTGATGAGAATAGTCATTAATTCTTAGAATATAATTTCTCCAGATGAAAGGAAGAAAGTTATCTGTTTTCTCATAATGATTACCTAGTCGCTTTCACAGATCAGATTCAAATTGTGTCTTTGGAGGAAGTTCTGTGATGTTCTGCTTTGAAAAAAAAAAAAAAGCAAGGTTGGAAAACATGTAATGAAAGGCAGTTCTGTAGGCTGGCATTTTTACATTGTCTCTTGATATCTTTAAACACAGGCTCACTTCATGCACTTAAAATGTTACTCAATTTATAAAAAATTTATGGGCATTAATTTTTATTTAGAAAAATTGATTAATGATCAACTGACCCTCTCTGATACCAGTATGAAAAGAAATCCTGATTCAAAATAGAGTAATCTAGCCTTCTGAGTAGAACAATAATTTATTTTACCACACATAGGTACTTAAATATATCACTTTTTTATTCTTTTAAAAAAGTAAATAATATGATAAAATGCATTTGAAACACAATCTGAAATAAAATGTGACAATATAATGGACAAAGACATCAATCTATTTATATGTGCAAATTTTAAAATTTGGCAAGCAAGTGGACTTCGATAAAATTTGGCACTAGCAAAATCTGTTTTATATTTAATGTTTTCTTATTTAGTGTATTTTCTATGCTGAATAATAGTAATGCCATTAAACAGTGTTATCCTATAGTGTTCCTTAAATATACGTATGTATTTTTGAGACAAAGTCTCATTTTGTCACCCAGGCTGGAGTGCAGTAGCACAGTCTTGGCTCACTGCAACCTCCACCTCCCAGGCTCAAGTGATCCTCCCACCTCAACCACCCAGGTAGCTGTAACTACAGGCACATGCCACCATGCCTGGCTAAATTTAATATTTTTAGTATAGACGAGGTGTCACCATGTTGCCCAGGCTGGTCTCAAACTCCTGGACTCAAGCAATCCACCTATCTCAGCCTCTCAAAGTGCCATATTACAGGCATAAGCCAACATACCTGTCCAATTGTTTTATATTTTAAGTTAGGGAAAGAATGTTTTGATATAAACACAGTGATAGGGACTACAAAAAATGAGTAAAGAATATGTTTTACAAAAATTTTATAGTAATATGTAAAATTCTCATAGTTTTAATTTTTTTAATTTAACTTTTAACAATTCAATACAAAATAGTAATTGATTTCAATGTTTCTTTGAAAATTCCCTATGTATTTTGTGTATATTTTTCACAAGTGACATTTTCGACCTTTTGGAGTAATTGGGTTGGAGTCAACTTAAATAACTTTAAGAGTATGTCCCATTGAGTGCTTACTATATCACATTCAAGATGAATTATGAACTCTAATCCCTTTGTCTAAAAAGGTACCATCAAGTAAAGACCTACCATTATATTTCTTACCCTATTATTAGGCCAAAGTTTTAAAATATTATTAAATCTTAGTAAAATTTTGATTGAGCAAGTTTAATATGGAGAATGTGTTTTAAAAATTTCTACTTAACATTTAAGATGATGACATTGAAGATTTTCTATTAATATTTGATTCAAGTAGTTTTGCAAAGTATTTTGCTCAATGGTTTCTAAAAGTCTACCAAATTTGTTAGCAGTAATTCTTTTTGGATTAAAACTCCAAAAACACAGAGACCTGGAGCTCTTGATACTGACAATAGCAATACCTGATTCTATTGACCTGAGGAGGAATAAATGCCTGAAAAGTGGTTTTATTGTTTATTTTGTTTTTAGTGACCGAGAGAAAATATGAAATATGTAGAATGAATTTTACAAGTACAATGATACAGTGTGATATTGTTTATATTGATTTTTATTTTTTTTTGTTGGTATTGTAGACAGCTTTACCAAATAGGCAATAAGAAACAACTTAAATATTGTCATGTAATTGACAGGGTATTTTATTGTTCCTAGAATAGAATATGGATATACTCACTTATATAACACTCATATTTATGAAAATTTAATTTCTTATGATTATGCAGTCCCAGCACCAAATTATAATACCAAAGCCAAATTTGTTGAAAAGCCAATCAAAGCTTAGCTTTGAGTACAGCATCATCTGTTGTTTGCCATGTGGATTTTTAGCCATTTTTAGCCTTTACATTGACACCTGATACACTCCAGTCTCTGGAGTAGCTGGGACTACAGGCACGTGCCAACATGCTGGACTAGTTTTTGTATTTTTTGTAGAGATAAGGTTTCATCATGTTGCCCAGGCTGGTCTTGACTCCTGTGCCCAAGCAATCCACCTGCCTTTGGCCTCCCAAAGTGCTGGGATTACAGGCATGAGCCACAGCACCCATTGTCAATCCACTATTAATGGGCATGTCAGTTGATTCCATGTCTTTGTTACTGTGAATAGTGCTGTGATGAACATGTAAGTGCATGTGTCTTTTTGGTAGAATGATTTATTTCCTTTGAATAAATACCAGTAATGCAATTGCTAGGTCGAATGATAGTTCAACTCTTAGCTCTTTGAGAAATCTCTGAACTGCCCTCCATAGCAACTGAACTAATTTACATTCCCACCAACAGTGTATAAGTGTTCCCTTTTCTGAGAGAATAATTTAATCAGGACAGTACCTTAAGATTCAGCTTTAATACAATTCAAGTACATTGGAAGGTAGGGTTGAAAAAGGAAGTTTCTGATTAGTTTCTTCCTGTTTTTAAGCTTGTTGCCGTATGTATTGCACCCTCTTGTGGCCAAGGCTTGCATCACAAACAAAGTTAACATGATCACTGCAAGCTACATCACACCAGCATTAAAAGAATTGGAAAAAAGGTAAGTTTTAATCATTTTAAACAAACTGAGTGGATCCATGGCATTGTTTTTATTTTATATCCAAGTTTTTCTTTTCCCTCTTTCTACCTGCTGCAGTGTGGAAGATGCTGGCATCACAGTTATTGCTGAATTGGGATTGGACCCTGGTCTGGATCACATGTTAGCAATGGAAACAATAGATAAAGCCAAGGAAGTGGGAGCCACGGTGAGCCCAATTTGTACCCAAAGGGAAACATTAAAATGTCTAACTTCTTGTGTACAGAAATAATCTTTAACTCTGATTAAAGATGCTGCTATATTATAACTCATTCTTTGAATAGAAATTTTAAATAAAATCTTATAACTGCTGAAATACCCATATAGGAAAACAATGTCAAAGTCTTAGGTAGCAGCCAATTTTTGGAGAAACAGATGCTACTATAAAATTTTGGCTTGATACAAATTTTAGACTACCTCGAAGATTCTGTAATAAGGTTTGACTTTTAAAAGTGAGAAGGATCTTTGGGTATTAGCAGTCTGTTGATATGAAGTATCTTTTACATATAACAAGGTACTATTGGGTGTAAATGGCATGATTCAGATTAAGTGTTTTGGGTTTTTTGAATGTGTGTGTGTATATATGTGTGTATTCAAATCATATTTGCATATATGATTTATGCAAATATATGAATTTCATTTATGTATTTTCAAATTATAATGTGAATATTATAAAAATGCAAATATATAATTAAAATTTTAGATATGCAAATATGTAATCTGAATACAAAAATTAGTAGAACTGACCAAACAGAATTGAACTAATAGTTGAATTTTTAACTGAACAAAATGTTATTTAGAGGATTAAAAAAATATATATATATAGTCAACCGTTATTTAATCAAATGGCATGTGGCTTTAAGGATGTATTTTTGAAAGCCTTATAATTTTAAGAATGAAAAACTGTAGCAAGTTTACTCCATTCATATCATTGTCTTCAATTAATTACTTAGATATTTTCTAACATGTTGTGAATTCTTCCTTATTTGTGGTTTCTTTAATTTACAGATTGAATCATATATTTCCTACTGTGGTGGACTTCCTACCCCTGAATATTCAAACAATCCACTGAGATATAAATTTAGCTGGAGTCCAGTGGGAGTTTTGATGAACGTAATGCAGCCTGCCACCTATCTGCTCAATGGAAAGGTGAGGAATCTCATCCAGGCATAGTGATATCAACCTGCAATAATCACCTGAGACAGTCTAAATACTCCCTGATTCCAAACCCTTTAATAATGGCGATGCTGATTGTCTCTGTTCTCTCCTCTTGTGGTATTTCCCAGTGCATATTTTTCTTCTGTTTAGCACAGTCTCCTTGCTGTTCCCTCAAAGCCTGTGCTTATTCTGCCCCAGGCCTTCTTGCAAGTTGTTTCTGATACTCAAAAATTCACTTCTCTATATATGTAAACACTGGTTATCTCTTGATTTATTTCCACATGACAAACATTTTCTGAATGCCTGCTATGTGCTGGACTTGGGGCAAGTTTCTCGAGACTGTCACAAGAATGAAGTCCGTGACCTCAGAAAACTCACAGCTAGATTGGGAATGGGGTTTAGCTCTTGAAATGGAGGGTTTGGTGTGTTGGAGAAAGAAACTACAATTTCTTCCCCAGCTGCCATGTAATAGAACATAAGGACTCTCTGAGTTTAGTATTATTTTCATATTTTTACAATAAGAAAGCTGTGGCTCAGAGAGCGTGCATGTCCAAGGTTATTTGGCTGAGATTCAAACCCAGGTCTAACTCTGAAGGCTTTTTTTGTGCTTTGCCAGATTGCTTAATGGCTGGAAAGACAGACATGGGAATAAGTGACTATTATCTAATGGGAAAATTTCCAAAGTATGTTAGAAGTGCTTCAGAGGTACAGGTGGGAGGACAGTTTAATTGGTCTTGGTGAAGCGGTTGGGGGAAGGAGGGTGGGGAGAAGGAAAACTAATGAAGAAAGAGGATGTGCTTTGGCCTTGAAGGATAAGAAGGTGCCAGCTAGGCAGGGATGTTAGCATTCATGGTATGACAGGTCTATAAGGGGAGAACTCAGGTTAGGGAGTTAAGATAACAGCTACACTTAAAAACATGGCAAGTGGCACGGCCAGTATCCAAATCACATCTATCTAATAGTTTATGCTCATAGTTTGGAGAAAAATATAACGAGACTCAGAGTGCGTCTTCAAATTGTGTGTTGTAGGCACCTCACTCACCTTGCCCTACGGGAGTGATGAATAATATGATCAGATAGATGTGTTTTAAAAAGATTATTCTAGCATCAATATTACACATTGTTAGTGTATCTATGAATCAAAATGTATTTCAGGAGTAGAAGGAAAGAATTTCTTAAGCAACAAGGTAAATGCCATTATCATTATTAGCCATCGTCTTTTGTGCCTATGATACAGAGCATGACTCATACTTGGCCGTAACTTGGAATTACAAAAGGAATTTAAAAAGTATTGATGCCTGGGCCTCATCTCCAAAAATTCTGATTTTCCTGGGCTTGGAGATTTTTTAAAACTTCGAAGTGATTCTAGTATGCAGCTGAATTTGAGAACAACTGATTTAATGATCAGAGAACTGTAGTTGCACTTAAAATAGTACTAAATAATCAGGAACTTTAGTTTAATGCTAATGATGTATAACATATTTCAGGATAATAAACAGGATCAATGAGTTCTGGTCCAATTGCTGGCATTCACCATAATATAGCCAAAGACCAGGTGGTTGAAAGGATCCACGGGATGTCAGTTTCCTGATGTGTAATGTGAGCACTGATGTTCCACCAATTCTTCAATCTTATGAATCATGAAGGTTTGGAGCAGAATCTTAGTCTGATGTTTTGCCAACCACACATCCTTTTACGTGCTTCAACCTGTCTCCTACTGCATTCCAACAGCTCCTTTTACCTTTTGCAATCTTAAGAGACTGGCCTATGTTTGGTATAATTAACATGTGAAGGCAGGACGAATTATTACTTCAGTTGAATAAAACACTTATTTTTAGGAGGCCTTATAAATGCTAAAGATGGTAGTAATGAAAGGGCCAGCAGGCAGGTGCTGTCTTTCATACTCCCTGCCACCCCTTCTTTCTCTTCCTCCTCCGCCCTGCAATGTTACGTCCAGCCTCACTCTCCTCCCTGGTGCTGTATGCGTTCCCCTTGTTAGCTGCATTTATGATCACACACCCTTCTTTTAAGTGATTTTTTTTCATTTGATTTGTCAATAAACGAATCAAACTGGAAAAAAAAAAAAATGAAAGGGCCAGCAGACTGCAACCCATGTAAAAGAAAGGGCGAGGAACTTGATATCTCTGGTCCTGGCTTTGTGCTCTAGCTCTGCCATTGCTGGTTGTGAGCTGTGGGTTCCTCATCTGAAGAGAAGGACAATCATGCTAGCTTCCAGTGTTCTTACTCAGTGAGGTTATTTAGATTGCAATCTGCCTAACAGCAGATTGCCAGGCATGTAATCCATCTAGCAAATATTAGCTATATAAGGAAATTATGGTTGTGAGAGTTTAAGAAAAGCAAGAGGTTATTTTCAGGTAGCCAAAGTTGTATTTGTTGAATTTGAAGTTCTCCTCTCTCATCCTAAATTTATTTTGTAAAAAGGAGTGCTTTTTGCATCGCTCTGGCGCTGTGGAGGATACCAAAAGAAAACATGACACTTTTCTTTTCTTTGCTTAAATGATACTTTTTTTCAAGGTCCCACTTGTGTTTTTTCTTGTGGATGAAGCTTTTCGTGACCACTCCAGCCTATGTTCACTATTATTTTGTCTGAACTGAATCAAAGTGTCAGACACTTTGTTTGTCTGTGTCTAAGAATTTTCTAGGTACTGCATTATTCACTCTGTAATTCAAGTGCTGTATATCAGTCTGTTTCCTAAGCCAGATTGTTAAACAACTTAAAACCTCTCTTATATTCTTGCCCTTCACTCCCTCTGCCATCATTACCCTCCACTATGAAGCAGGTCTTAAATGATTCACAGAATCACAGTGGGAGAAAACAAGTCACCTCTCTGGACTTTTACTTAAAATTAAAGCCTTAAACTTTTCCAGAAATTGGACAGTGGCCTATGAATTAGGAAATATCTCATTATCTTTCATCTTTGCAGTAATTACTAGCAACTTGTTCTGTTTCTAACTTCTAATCTGATTCCTAACAATTCTGATTTTCTTCCACGTATTCAGAGATGGTGATGTCATCTTTTCTTAGTTGAATTCCCCTTACAAGTGGTGGTATACTTACTCACACTGGTGGCATTTGGGAGTGACATGGCAGAGTTTTGCCATCACCTTCTGCAATGTTTCCCAGTCTAACCTGGCAAAACATATAGTCTAAGTGAGACGCATGCTTGCTCTGCAAACATAGTTTTAAGATAAGTTTTCTAGCCCTCTTATCTAGCCTGCCACCAGCTTGACTGCAGCACCCAGCCCCTTGGAAATCAAGAGCTACCACTATCTCCCTTTGCCTGTACCCATTCTTCATGTACATTTCAGGTGCACCCCAGGTGGCATAATCTGGAATGCTATTCTTTGTCAATATCCCTTTCAAAATACTGATCCAGAAATAAGCATGATTAAGGGGACAGTTTAGTAGAAGAAACACAGACATTGCAGTCAAATAGAACTGGGTTCAGATTTGCCTTTGGGTGACTCAGCCTCAGTTTTCACCTCTGAAAAATGGGTTATTTCATGGATTAAATATAATGTGTATAAGGCCCTGGGCACATAGTGGGCCCTGAAGAAATGATTGTATATTTCTTTATTCATTTAATGATCAAGTTTACTGTGATTATTTGAATATATATGATATACTTATTCAAATATAGCAGTGATTCGCTATAGTTGGGAGATGTATATTTGTGTTGGTCTCTGTGTGTGTGAAAGAGTAGGACCTAGAGAAGCTTGCAAAAGCAGTGAGTAATGAGCCTGAGCGTTATGAGAGCAGAAAGAAATGTATGTTCTCTGCAAAACAGGCAAATATGTCTTTCTGTCTTCAATCACATTATTAATAAAATATTAAGAAAGAATTTATTATTGAACTATATGATATACCACTACAAATACAACTATGAATTAATACCAAATGACAATGATTACCCAGTAATTTTGGGGTCAGTTTGCTTAGCCAACTGCCAACCTCACTATGTGAATTATTGCCATTCAGCTTACATTTCTCCATCTTCAATGTAAGATTTTCATGATAAATTTATGAACTAGCTGTTTTATTTCTGGTTGATAAGTTAGAATATGGTGATCTTTATTGGATTTTTCTTTAAGAAATTTTCCTGACCTTCAAACAAGCAAACAAACCTTAAGAATTGTCATAGATCATAGAAATGAGATGGGTGTGAAGACCCTAAAGGCCAACATTTGCTTTTTTGTTTTTTTAAGAGATGGTATCTTGCTGTGTTGCTCAGGCTATTCTCAAACTCCTGGGCTCAAGCCATCCTCCTGCCTCAGCCTCCCAAGCCAAGTAGCTGGGATTACAGGTGTGCATCACCATGTCCAACATTTGCGTTCTTAGATTTTTTCAAAAATTTAGAATTCTATTAAATAGATTCGTTTTCAAGATGTAGAGCAAAAACCATCCCTTTAGAAATGTTTACTCTGCAGTCTAGAAGGGTTCACAAGAAAATTAAATGAAAGGCATTCCTTACATCCTTCATTTAGATTTTCACTCTAAAAATTTTAAATTTGGAGAGAGTGCTTGGCACTCTCCAAGTAAGGCATGAGAATCATTAAGTTTAGCCAAAGACCTCTTCAGGAAATCCTGTGAATCCACCTTAAAGTATATTGGCAGCTCCCTGGTACAGTGTTATTTTGTTCAGCTTTAGAGAAATTGGTCAGGCATCATGCTACCTGACTTCAAACTATGCTACAAGACTACAGAGAAATTGATCAGAAATTGTTTCCAGTGTACAATAAAGATAAAATTCAATTCCACCAGCAGCACCAACCAGAATTCTCAGACCTAATTTTATCACTCCAGAATGATTTCCATTATCTCAACAATAATAATAAGCCTCATAAACGAAAAGAAAATTTAGTTCTTTAAAATTAGAGACAAAGAAATCCTGTATTTCATTTTGAGTCTGTGTGATGGGGGTAGGGGTATGGGAGATAAGTACTGAGATATCAAAAGATTTTTACTTCATCACTCATGTTATTGCCTTCACAATTTGTGTAACCCGTGACACATGGATCACTTTCTTCTGCTCATGAACGTTAGCTGTATGGATGAAATGTATGCAACTGGTGCCTAATGTGGCATTCAGAAAGGTCGTAAAAGTAGAAAAAAGAAAAGAGTGAGAATATTGATTGCTGTTTGAACATAGAAGCCATTTAAACAATTATCTGTTGCTTTTAGCTTATCTTTTTAAGTTTATTTATTAAACATTTTTATATAAAATACTTTACGTAAAATAATGTTTATTTTTAATCATTTGTTTAAACATTAAAAAAATAAAAATTAAAAATGTTTAAAATTCTTTTTTTTTAAATGTTTATATTTTTTAAAAAAGGCAAACTCTAGTGGGAAATAATTTAGTGCCATTTTATCCAGGGGAAGGAAAAAAATGAAAATAAGACTATGTTTAGAAAAACTAAACGCTTTAAAGTGAAATTTTAAAGCTTGAAAGAAGAATTGCATTGTGAATTATGACATTAGTAGAACAGCTTAAGTATAGGATGATGACTATGGTGGTTTCATTATTTTTTTTTCAAATTTCTATTGCTTTCTGTGTTCACACGAAGCAGATAAGTCCTAACAGAAAGGAATGGCTCTTAACCCCACGTATGCCTTCTCAATGTTCCTCAGGTTGTGAATGTTGCAGGGGGCATCTCCTTTCTTGATGCCGTGACGTCCATGGATTTTTTCCCAGGATTAAATTTGGAAGGCTATCCTAACAGAGACAGTACGAAATATGCTGAGATTTATGGCATTTCTTCTGCTCACACTTTGTTGCGGGGGACACTGAGATACAAGGTGAGCAGCTGGACTTTATATTCAACACGTTGCCAGTTTTGATGTAAGTGATGTATACACTTTATTTTTCTTAGTAGCCAAAATAATGAAGATGATAAACCAAGTTGGAGCCTACTTTTTCAGGAATCTTATGATTGAATATTTTAGGAGACTCACCTCAAAATAAAAAGACAATTTATTGACTCATTAGGAGTTGGGGACAGGCAGGGCTTTAGGCTCAGTGAGATTTGTAGGTCAAGTGACTCACCCAGGACCTGATTTCTTGTAACTTCTCAGCTCTTCTTTCCAGTATTCACTGGAGTCTCAAGTGCTGTGCCATGGCAGAGTGCTGGCAGCAACCCCAGCCTCTCAGATTCAAATTCAATGGGAATAAAAATGATATCCTTCTAATAGCTAAAAATACAATTTTTGTCTCATTAGCTGGAAATGATCCCTAATATCAGTGCGATAAAATGTGCCCATCTACTTTGTTCTATGTTATATGTCCCTAGAACTAGAGGTTGAGTCAATGTCATTGAAAATACATAGACCGGGTCTGGGGGAAACAGACGGAATAAAAGGGGCTTCCCCAGAGCAAATCCAACATGTTTTTAAACCACAAAATGGGGAGTACATTCTAGGAACATAAATGCAAATGTCCACTACACATTTATTGATCACAAAAAAAGCGGTTATAAGTGTGACCAAATCCACACAACTGATATATTAGTTTTCTAGCTGAATAAATTTTCACAAACTGGATAGCTTGAAACAATAGGGATTTATTCTCTCACCATTCATGAGGCCAGAAGTCTGAAATCAAGGTGTGTGTGAGGAGGGTTGGTGCCTCTTGGAGGCTTGACTTTGAGACACAGCCATCTAATTTGTGCCTCAGTTTCATACCCCCTTCTTCTTTGTACCTGACTGTGTTGCCTCCTCTTATTAGGGCACTAGTCATTGGACTTAGGTTTCACACTAAAGCCAGGTTCATTTCATATTGAGGTCTTTAATTATATCTGCAAACATTCAAGTCAGACCATATTCTGAGGCTCTGGATGGCCATGAATTTGGGAGACAGGACACTAAACTCAACCTAATGTAACCAGCATACTTAAAATGCATGTCTCTCAAGATCAGAGACCTGATTGCAAATACCTCTGTCCTGTGAGATTTCCTGGCTAAGGCCAGAGAGGGGATTTATCTCATGTGTGTTACTAGTCTTCTCTATTTTTTATCTGGAAGATATAAAGTACACGGGCCTGTTAGTGATGACCCTTCAATCCTGTGCCTGCTTTTCTGTTGCTCTCCTATCTTTTTTACTGGCTGTTCCTTTTGCCTGGAACTTTTCCTCCAGATATTTGCATCATCCTCCTTCAGGCCTTGTTCTTTTCTTCTCTGCCACCCTGCCCCTGGTAACCACGGTTTTATTCTCAGTCTTTGCATATTTCACTTTCTTAAAAAGATTCTGCATGTTAGTGAGATCATGCAGTATTTTACTTTTCATGTCTCATTCCACTTAGGACAGTGTCTTCCAGATTCATCCTCCTATCTATTCTTAAAAAGAAAATAACTTCTCTATTTCTTACTCGTGAGATCTTCTGTTACATATACGGGCACTTAGCATTTACTTCTGTGCATTTTAAGTTATAATTTTATGTGTATTTTTCTTATCTCCCAAATAGATTGTAAGCTCCTAGAGAGCAGGTGCTTGTACTCTTATGGATATGATTTTCTCGTTGTCCAGGAATCAAATGAGACACCAGTGATAATGTCCTACTGAGATCTAGGAGCTGTGGCTTTTCTACCAGCCTTTTAGCACAGTAGAAATTCTAGTCTGAACTGATGAATACCATCCCAGCTCTGGTAGATTTCTTAATATATTTTCTTCAATTCATTCATAAAGAAAAAATGAGTAATAAGTTTTTTTTTGTCCAGCAGTTAGGATAGTCTTTTGTCAAACATATAGATATAGTCAATATGTATAGTCTTTTGCCAAACATATAGATCCAGGAATGAAGAATTTTAATAGATTTAAACATTGAATAAAGATCTCAGCAAGGCGTGTGAGTGAGAGCCATCCCCATAGATTCCCTGAGGATGGAAGATATCACAGTGTTCATAATCATGAGGTCCAACATCCTGGGCAATGCCAGCAACCCATTGGTAACCTCAATATTCTTTCCAGTATTGGAAATGAGATACCATCATTCAAGTGTGACAGAGAGGCCTTGGCTACTGTGCGTGCCTGTCACCTCCTTGTCCTTCTAGATGCAGCTTAGTAGCACCTCCCCATGCTATCCTCCCTAACTCCTTCCCCTTGAACCACCCACTCCCATCTATGTGAGTTCCCCCTTCTTGGTGCTCCCACAGCTGTTCTCCTCTAACCTAGAACCTAGTAATAAAATACTCTAGTATAGTCATCAGTGGTCATGCATTTTTGCTCATCATGGACTAGGCATTATTGGCTTGACTTATCTGACCTTTTCGTTGACTGCAGTTTCTGCATGGGTGGGACTGCATTTTTTTCATCTCTGTAGCCTTAGTCCCTAGCACAAGTCTGACATATGGCAGCAGTTTGGTAAATGCTGACTGATGAATGAATACACAAAATAAGTACATTTCTAGGGGTCATCATAAAAATATATTTCTAAGATTAATAAATAGCTCATAAATAAGTATTTTAGGTGTTGGATAAAGGAGTCTCTAGCACCTATCAGGTCCCAGAAGCAAGCTAAACAAGCTAGTGATATTACTTTTTTGTTTCTCCTCTTTGAAGTGTATTTGCATTTGAGCAAATGAGAATTTTTTTTAGTAACCTTTGAACAGTTTGAACAATATAACCTTTAGAAATGTGAAAATTGCTGGTTGACCAGACATTCAGTAGTGAAATATCTGATGGTTACAGGAACTATTTCATATTTTAAAAACTCTGTTGCTCCCAATAATTATTTCCGTCTCTCTCTTTCTTCTCTCTCACTCTCTGCTTGAGCAGTAATTGCAGCAGCTGCAAAATATCTTATCTTAGCCCTCTCACCCTGCTTCCCGTTTGCACACTGCAGAATAAACCATTATGGTCTTTCTTCATCCATTATTCAGAATCTATTTATTCAGCCATTTGTTCTTTTATAGGGGATTGGAATGATGAATTATGGATTGGAATGTTGAATAATGTGATGTGGGCATTGGGATGAAGACTATGCATGCAAATATAATTTAATATAACATAACATAATATAAAGATATAATTTCCCTGCTTTTAATATCTACAGTATAGCAGCTGAATAGACAATTAATTTCAAGTTGTATAAATTGCTGATAAAGGTATATACAGAAGACTACAAGAAGGGAGGCCCCACTCACCTAGGGAACTCAAAAGAGGTGTTAAACTGGGTCTGAAGGAAGGAGAAAACATTTCATAAGTGAAGAAGTGTGGCCAACACATTCCAGGTACAGGAGCAGCATATACAGAGGCCCTGGTTTCTGGAAGAACACTGCAAATTTGGGGAATAGTGAAAGTAGAGATCTGTGAGTTAGGCTAGATGAGCATATTGTGATGGATTTTACATAATATACCAAGGACCTCAGGTATGTTTTTGAGACAATGAAGGACATATGAGGAATTTATATCAGAGTAGCAATATCATTGTATCTTAGAAAAATCTCTCTGATTCCTACCACTTTTTCTGCTTCCCATATATCTTGGGGGTAATGGCTTTAATCAGTAGAATGGATTATCTTTTGAGCAGGATATTCTTACAAGTTCCTCCTCCCATTATAAGAAAGAGCTCAACTGACTGTTCTATTGAATATATTCCACTGAGCTGACAGCATATAACACATAAGGAAATTTGCCCTTATGCTGCCAGGAAATTCCATTCACATGTTACCGAGAAACAGAATTAAAGACCTAAGATTTGCAAGGTCTTTTACATAAACCAGTGCAATTGTTACGACACTACTGATCTCAGTTTGAGCTTGAAATTCGTTGTATCTAGATTGTCAATTTTTTTTTTTTTTTTTGGTGGAGGGTGGGGAGGGGTTTCCAGTAAAGATAGGAAATCCTGCTAGACAAATTCTAAAAGAGCTGTAGCATTCATGTTAGGCTAGATGAGCATATTGTGATGGATTTTACATAATATACCAAGGACCTCAGGTTTGTTTTTGAGACAATGAAGGACATATGAGGAATTTATATCAGAGTAGCAATATCATTGTATCTTCAATATAGCATTCGTATCATCAATATAACTACTTATTTTCTGAATTAGTTACAAAGATAGAACCCTCTTTTCAAACATATTTTATTTTTTTATTGGAAGAGAAAAATTTTATGTACTGCTTTTTAATTCTTGTTTCAGGGATATATGAAAGCTTTGAATGGATTTGTAAAATTAGGTCTTATAAACAGAGAAGCGTTTCCTGCCTTTAGACCTGAGACGAACCCTCTCAGCTGGGTGAGTGACTCTGGAATTATGTGCTATCTGCTGCTCTTCAGAAATGACTTCTGAAATGGTCAGGGGTGAATTCTGCTTTGGACCAACAAAAGAACCCATTTTTTAGCTTATATGCAGGAAGATAAATCCTAATTCCAAAGTTCCCTTTCCCTTCACTGTTACGGAAGAATAGAGAGGGTGTGGTGCTGACACGTAGCTGGCCTGTTTCCTGTAGCAACTTATACCATTTGACGGCTCCTTGAGCTGTGATAAGAGATGCATTTGCTCTCTGCATTAAGCTCTGGTATCTTCCAGTTGTCTAAGAGGTGACCCAGTGATGGGACTCACTTGGGCTTCCTGAAAGTGAGAATCCAGCAGAGTTAGTAGTGTATTACAGAACTGGATTCTCAACCTCCAAATTTTGTCAACACTCTCATTTGGCTTCTTATAACCATGAGTGATTTGAGTTTCAGTTACAGAACTTTTGCATCTATCTGTTGTACCAAAATCTTAAGGCCTCAGAGTTGGAATGAATTTTGGAGGCTTGGGACTGAATGTGAAGTAGAGCTTCCACTAACTGCTCAGAATTAACTCCTTACCAGCTGGTCATTCAGTTTAAACTAGTGTGCCCATATTCCAATAGAAATGCCAGAAATGTATCACAAGGAGAAAAGGACCAATGTTGCTAATTCCATTCCATCTCAAAAAGGTTTTGGTATTCTTGCTAGCTAGTTTAAAAAATTTTTTTTAAATTTTTTATGGGTACATACTAGGTATATATATTTATGGGGGACATGAGATATTTTGAAATAGGCCTGCAATGTGTAATAACCCCATCAGGGGTAAACGAGGTGTCTACCACCTCAAGCATTCATCATTTCTTTGTGTTAGCCAGTTGCATTCATTTTGTGTGTGTGTGTGTGTGTGCATTTGTGAATCTAAGTGTTACCTTTCACAACTTTACTTGTTGGATAGGAGTGAATAAATATCTACAGAGGGAATCTGGGTTGAAGCAGCTGGCTTGGGAAGGTTGGTGTAGGCATTCTTAGGGATGGTCTTTTTTTGTAAATGACCAGATTGTAAATGCTTTAGACTTTACAGGCCACATGGTCTCTGTCAGTACCACTCAGTTCTCCCATAGACAATACATAAATCAATGAGCATGACAGCATTTCAATACAATTTTATTTAATAAAACAGATAGTGAGACAAATTTGGTCTGTGAGCCAGTTTGTTGACTCCTGATCTAGAGCATAGCATTTCCTTTGGGAGCCTAGAAAAAGTCTTGTTTTGAAAGTAGGAAAAACTGGCCGGGCGCGGTGGCTCAAGCCTGTAATCTCAGCACTGTGGGAGGCCGAGGCGGGTGGATCACGAGGTCAAGAGATCGAGACCATCCTGGTCAACATGGTGAAACCCCGTCTCTACTAAAAATACAAAAAATTAGCTGGGCATGGTGGTGTGTGCCTGTAATCCCAGCGACTCAGGAGGCTGGGGCAGGAGAATTGCCTGAACCCGGGAGGCGGAGGTTGCGGTGAGGCGAGAACGCCCCATTACCCCCCCCCCTGGTAAAAAAGAGGAAAAACCCCCCCCTCAAAAAAAAAAAAAAAAAAAAAAAGAAAGTAGAAAAAACTGGTAACTGTTTAAATGTTCTTCCTTTGAGATTTTATTACCTACAAGGTCTTTCTCATCTCTTGAACCTACAAAAGAACCTGAGTTGCTGCTGGCAACCACTGCAGTAAGCCTTTTCCACTTTATCCTGGTCAAAATGGACTGCTGGAGGGTAGGGGGAGAATGGGTTAAAAAAAAAAAAATGATAGGATATACAAAGGCAGGAAATATGTGGTAAGAATTGCACCATCTGTTTTGTATTGAGTTGATCTTAAGACCCATTTTTATTGCTGAAATATTCTGGAATAGCATCCATTTAATAATTGTAGGTGTGCAGATGTGTGTATGTACATGTATGTATTACAATTTCCTATTTTCAATTATTTTTAATTTTAAAATTTGAGGTATATTTAAAGTTTAGTGTTTTAGTAAGATAATTTTTCAGGTAATTAAAAAAAAAATTGATAGGGACTTAGAAATGTTGTCTTTATTTTTCTGACCAGAAAGAACTCCTGTGTGACCTAGTTGGGATTTCACCCTCCTCTGAACACAACGTGTTGAAGGGTGCTGTTCTTAAGAAACTAGGAGGAGACAATACCCAGCTGGAGGCTGCTGAATGGTAGGCACCCACCACTCAACTTAGAGCAAAATATGTTGGATCAATGATTGTTAATTTCTACTGAAACAAAAGTTAAATATTTTACATTTGTCTTTTATTAATTTGTTGCTCTAATGTGGGTAGAGAAATTACCATGTGCCATGTTCATGTGGGCATAAAGAATAGATAAAGACAGGAGTTCAATGACAATTATAATTTGAGAAGTACTTATCTGGAAACACTTTACCACTCAATTCCCAAGCAAAGTGGGATATTTTTGCTTTCCTGTAGGAGATTCTCTGAGTAGTCAGAGAATATTACTTTAAAACATTCTTTCATACGACTCTGTGGCATCCTGCTGGTATACTTAATGTTGGAGAACTAACCTATAACTTATAAAGAGCTGTGTAAGAACATGGGGTTACAATGCATCATCTCTGCCCTACTCCAGGAAGCAGTGGCTGGGTGAGTCTGGAGATGATTTTGAAGGTTAAAACATTGCTATTCTTATTGTAATTTTACATTTTAGGAGAATCTACAACTTGAGTTACTATCTTGTAATTCTTCCCTTTCAAGATTAAATTCAAGGAGCTCCCTTTTGCTTCCCAAATGAGAACATGTATAGGACCTGAACTAATGCAGCCCTCTCTTGTGCTTTTCAGGTTGGGCTTACTTGGGGATGAACAAGTCCCTCAGGCAGAGTCCATTGTGGATGCCCTCTCCAAGCATTTGGTCATGAAGCTTTCCTATGGTAGGCCATGAAATATTAGATAAATATAACTGAAGAAGAATCATAAGGTAGAGTCAGTGCAGATAATTGTACTGGAGGGTTGGCGCCAAGCAGCAGGAATGGAAAGAAAAAGGCAATTGGACTCTTTCTTCAGGGGGAGGAATTTGAGAATTATTAGGCAAAAATAAACTTCGTTAATATGAGAAAGGAAAAAATAGTTTTACTTTTTATTTTTAAAGCATTAGGCAAATGCCAAAGAAGCATTTTTGAAGCATAGTAAAAGGCTTTTATAGCAGTGCTTTTGTGTCTGTAAAAAGGGTGCAGTGATGCCAACCTGGATAAAGGAATGAGATCACAGTTCTAATTTCCTTGAGTTTTTCACTTTGACTTTGGGCTAAAAGCTGTGTAAATAATTGTCTAGTGATCACATATAAAAGGAGGGAAAACTTATAAGACCAGAAGGGCAGAAGCAGAAAATGATTTACAAGATTTGAGTTGAAATGGTAGTGGCATTTTTACTTGTCTTTATTTGTTTTAAGGCCCTGAAGAAAAAGATATGATTGTGATGAGAGACAGCTTTGGAATCAGACATCCTTCTGGACATTTAGAAAATAAAACGATTGATCTTGTGGTTTATGGGGACATCAATGGCTTTTCAGCCATGGCTAAAACTGTGGGGTTACCCACCGCCATGGCAGCCAAAATGTTGCTTGATGGTAAGTCTGTTCATTTGAGGACTGAGTCTGTCTCCATATCACCCCAAGTCATTTGGTGTGGGGACATCAAGTCGTTGCTCTTGAGCATAACACAGGCATTCACTAAAAGTGAGCCGTCTTAGAAGATGGAAGTGCTGACTGTCTGGGAGGTCCCCTTGTGGTGAGTAAAGCATGTGGCCTTTGGAGATAGACCTGATTTCCACCCTAGCTGAATTGCAAGGTGGCTGCATGATGGGCTGCAAGTTACTCAGCACCTCTAAGAGTTTCCTTTTCTTTAAAGCGGGTATTGCCATCCCTATTTCATAGAGCTGTGTGACACTTAACTGATATAATACATAAAGCTGCTACCACATAGATGGTCCCCAGGTAATGGTAACTTCCTTCCTTTCTTTCCTTGTTTTTTGTCATGTTGAGAGTGGTAACTCTAAAAAAAGATATTCACTCCAGATTCTCAAGAATGTAGGTTAAGTTTTACTGTCTTTGTATCTCAGCATATTATTAATACTCAATAAATATTTTAGACTAAAGGAATACAAATTTCAATTCTCCACTCGCACTAGAAGATCACATAGACATTCAATAAGCATTGCCTCTGTTTGGCCCTTGAGAAAGAATGAAGGAAGTAGGAAATGTCAAAGCATATAAATGTGAAATGATGAGAAAACATGTATAGTAGCATATCAGCTAATGTCAGATTAAATGACCAACTTAGTTATTGAGGAATCAGCGAAGAAGTAAGTGACAAAAGTTGGGATTATTGTGTCCTCTAATGAGGGTGCCCAGGTTCTGTGTTTCAGCCATACTAACAGGTACCTGTGCCCATATAATCAAACTTGTTACAACTTATTCTGTTGGTGTCTTGACTTTTTAAAAAAATGACATTAGCAAGTTAAGCTGACCAATCAGATTTACTTTACTTCTTACTTTACTTTTCTCTGATTGTCTTGGCAGTAATTAGTGCAGGTAAGTGTACAAATTCCTACAGTATCTCTAGGTCCAGCTGTTCTTTCAATCTAAAATTGACTCCTTTTCCTTACAAAGTGTTGACTAAGTAATAATTTACTAAGGGACATTTAAGCAGCTACTTAAAAAATGCCTAGGCCTCCAAGAATTCATTGACTCTGAGTTTGCTTCTAGGGTGATACCTTCTTTGCGGAGACTCATGCTGGGAAAAATTAACCTCTGATATTACCTTTAAAATGGTAATTACACACTTATTTTCTTCCAGGTGAAATTGGAGTCAAAGGCCTAATGGGGCCCTTTTCAAAGGAGATCTATGGACCAATACTGGAGCGAATTAAAGCAGAAGGCATTATGTATACTACACAGAGTACCATTAAACCATAATTGGGAATTATATTTCATTTTTTTCTTCCCAGGCAATACAGCTCTGAAGATGTCTGTGATAAACGGACTTGCTAATGTGCTGTTTTAAAGTATAAAGCATAATATGTTTTGGTTAACACAATGTTGTTTTTGAACTATAAATCTTTATTTTAATATGGAAATGTTTGAAACAGGAGAGGCCACCCACTACCGGAGAACTTTAATAATTCTACCCCGTATTTTAGAAATACGTTTGTGAAAGTGATGATTGTGCTATTTGCTAATTTATTTTGCCACTTTTTTCTCACAAGAACACATTGTCCTATACTCAGCAGATGAAGTTTTACTCTTTTAGTCAGAAAAACTTCCTCATAAAGCTATATTTTTATATTTTTAAAATTGACACAGTTAGCTTTGGATTACCTATGTATGTGTCTTTGCCAAAATGCTATTTTATGCCCTTTTTGTAAAGTTGCAATTTATTTAGTAAATGTAGTTCCTTATACTTTTCTCTTGAGTGTTTGGAAATGAGAATAGATAACACTGAATCACAGTTTACAAGATCACCTCATTAGGCACAGAAAAAGTGTTTAACAAAATACAACACCCTTTCACAATAATAACAAAACAAAACAAAACAAAATGAAACACCTCAATAAACTAGGAATAGAGGAAAACTTCCTCAACCTGATAAAGAACATCTATGAAAAACCCACAGCTAGCATCATACTTAATGGTGAAAGATTGGATTAGTGCCCCCTGAGATCAGAAGTAAGACAAGGATGTCTGCGTTGCCCATTTCTATTCAACTTGTACTGGATAGTCAAGAAGGGGCAAGTAGACAAGAAAATGAAACAAAAGACATCTAGATTGGAAAGGAAGACGTGTAAGTAAGTAGAGATGGGAGATGATATGGTGATTTTATGCATATGAATCCAAAGGAAATCTATAGAAAATCCAAAGACATGAGCTACAAAAACAAAACATTAGAAATAATGAATAAATTCATTACTTCTAATGAATTTATTCATTAGAAATAATGCAAATTCACAGCAAAGTCACAGGATGCAGGATTAAATATACAGAAATTGGTTATCTTTTGATACAGTATCAAGGAATAAATAAAAAATGATATTAAGAAAACAATTTAATTTTCAACAGTGGCAAATCTTGGTGGCTCTTGCCTATAGTTCCAACCCTTTAGAAGTTTGAGGCAGAAAGGCTAGGGGCGAGGAGACCAGCCTGGGAAACAGTGAGATCCCATCTCTACAAAAACAAACAAACAAACAAACAGCTGGTTGTGATGACATGCATCTGTGGTCTCAGCTACTCAGGAGACTGAGGTGAAAGGATGACTTGAATCCCAAAATTCTGGGCTGCAATGAGCTGTAACTGGATCACTGCAATCCAGCCTGGATGACAGAGTTAGACCCTGACTAAAAAAAAAGAAAAAAAAAAAGAAGGTCCAGAAATAGTCCTCACATTTATGGTGAACTGACTTTTGAAAATGGTGCTAGGACAGTTCAGTGATATTCTTTTTCATTGAATGGTACTTGGAATTGTTGATATCCATATGCAAAATATTGAAATTGGACTCCTAACTCATATTGCATATAAAATTAACTCAAAGTTGACTTTAGATCTAAATGTAAGAGCTAATGCTATAAATATCTAAGAAGAAAACATGGCATAAATTTTCCTGACTTAGAATTAGGCAATGATTTCTTAAATAAATGACACTAAAATCACAAGCAACAAAAGAAGAAAATAGGTAAATGTGACATCATCAAAATTAAAAACATTTGTGTTTCCAAGGACACTATCAAGAAAGCAAAAATACAACTCACAGAAAGAGAGAAATTTTTTAAAATCATGTATTAGTTAATGGAGGAATTTGTATTTAGAATATATAAAGAACTGTTGCAATAACAGTTAAAGGCATATAATTTGATTTTTAAAAATTGACAAAAGATCTGAATTTACAGTTCTCCAAAGAAGATATACAAAAGGCCAATAAGCACATGTAAAGATTCTCAACATCATTTTCCATCAAGGAAATGCAAATAAGATCTCCAATGAAATATCACTTTATACTTGCCAGAATAGTTATGTAATTAAAGAGATAATATCATGTGTTGGTAAGGATGCAGATAAATTGGAACCCTCGTACACTGTTGGTGGATACTCAAGAAATATAAAAACAAATGTCTACACAAAAACTTGTGCACAGATGTTCTTTGCAGAATTATTCATAATAACCCAAAATTGAAACAGCCCTAATTTCCATCAACTAATAAATGAATAAACAAAATGTGGCATATCCATACAAGGAATATTATTCAGCAATAAAACATGAGATGAAGTACTGATGTGCACCACAACATAGACAAACCTTGAAAAGATGCCAAATGAAGAATGCCAGACTCAAAAGGCCACATATTATATGATTTCATTTATATGAAATGTCCAGAACAGGCAAATGTATATATAGAGAAGGTAGATTAGTGGTTCGTTAGGTTGAGAGGTTGGAGAGGAAAATGGAGTGCCTGCTGATTAGTATGGGGTTTCTTCTTGGGGTGATGTAAACGTTGTAGAATTGATTGTAATGACGGTGGCACAACTCAATGTACTAAAAACTACGAATTGTATACTTTGAATGTTTGAACTGTGTGGTATGTGGATTTTATCTCAAGTTGTTATAAAAGAATTATAAATACAATTTGTTTATTTGCTTCTTGGGGAAAAATCTCTTGCCTTTAGAGATACAAAGTAAGCACCTGTTTGACCTTCACAAATTGTGCTCGTATCCTGGCATGTGAAACTAATTCTGTCCTCGACAGAAGCAGGTACTATGTGTGAGGTATATGATAGTTGAGAAAACATCTCCTCCTATTTGAAAACAATCAAAATTGATTAAGGCCTGGTCCCACCTATCACAGGTAATATATGAAGATCAATAATCTATTAATAAGTAAAAACATTTTGTTGTGGAATTTTTTTTCTTACCATGACATTCAATTCAACTCAATGGATTAGGAAATACAACTTGTATAATATTGATTTCACACTCTGAAACGATGCCCAGATTAATTGAGAACTGATAAACTAGCACCTTGTGTAGAAAAGAGGACCTAGTTAGTTCTCAGTGTAATTAATTGGTTTGTGCTTTATGATGACAATGAGAATTAAAGGGCATTTGATTTGTAGAGCTGATCAAATGTTAGTGTTGGTGGTCATAGAAAAGGCAATGTCAGTAAGCTTGAATACAGCTATATGTAATTAAACACTACATTATCCCTCAATAACAAATTTTCCTGCAGAACATTTAATGATAAAGGTGGTGGTGATAGGGTTTGGGAATGAATGAGCAGATTATGGTTATAAGCATATGAACATAGACCTTTATCAGGGGTCCACAATTTTTTTTTTGTGAAGGTCAGATATAAACATTTTAGGTTTTGCTGAATAAAGACATCACAGCTGTTCATTTCTGCTTATATATTGTAAAAGCAGCTATAAACAGTATATAAACAAATGTGTATGGCTGTGTTTCAGTAAAACCTTATTTGTAAGAACAAGTGATAGGCAGACTTGACCCTCGAGACAGTTTGTGGATCTCTGGTCTTACCATTCTGGTAGACTTAATGCTCACATCTTTCAGATCTTTCTGCCTCTTTTGCTCTTTTTTAGATAATACCAATATTTGTGTTATCCATTTTTCCTTGTTCTAGATTAATGAGACACTAGATCATACTAGACACTGATCGGCTCTACAACATACTAGCTATTCTCTACTTTATGAAATGAGGATAACAGTAACTCCCAAGATGATTATAAAAATTAATGAGATAGTGAAAGAGAAATGCTTGCCACTTAATAGATGTTAAAACACGAGTGGGTTGTTCTTCCCTTTTTTACAATACAGTTTTTGCCTGAAGTTAATGAGATTTTTAACTTTGATTTTTTTTTCAATTTATTGGATACCTTTGGAAGACTCCTCAAAGATCCATGCTGCTTAAACAAGTCATAGATTTATCTGCTACCTAAGGTGGTTGAAGAGGTGAAAAAAACCACAACAATCATTTGGCCAAGCCTCTGATTTTACAGAACAGAAAATGTGCCTCATAAAGTTAAATGACTTGCCTGAGGTGACAAGACTTAATATTGAAATTTGGTAATCATTTGGAAACACTCAAAATACTTGATAAAATTTGGGAGCACCCTGATTTTTAAAATATCTAGGATGGCTAACTTAGGGCCACCACTAGCCCATATGGTGTCTTTTTGAAAATTAGGACAAGGCATTCCTTCTTTAAGACACTGCTACTGGTCAAAAAATTGTTACCAAATGTACAATTTATTAGCACAAAACACTTTACCCTCTAATGGAAAATTCCCATAATAAATATAGAAATCTTCAATGTCTATGATATGATTAGTTCACCCTTAGATGCAATGCACAATTTGCACAGCTGTGCAAAGTAGATAATCTTATCTTTATATTTTGTATACTATTAGCTTTCTTTATAATGGCTTACATTTGCTGATTGTTTGCAGTAGAACTACATCTGCCAGATCTGAATTCCAGTGAAAGGAATCCAGTGAGAAAACCTGGCTGTTCTGGAATGATACTTGTTATACCGACAGCTCATCTGATAACTTATTTTTTCCAATCTTGTTTTAGTCCTAATGCCCATTCTTAATTTTCATTAATTAACAAGAATTCCAAAACACAGTCCTATTTTGTTGAATTAGGAAGTTACATCACCCCCAATTTGTCACTGTAGTAAAATAGGTTTCTAGTACCTTCTAGTTTTATGTTAGTTGAAAATGTGTGCTACATCACCTGCTAACAAATTCATCAACCCTGGGAATCCCACGTCCAGCCTGAGAGCCTTGTGAAGCTGCATTGATATTGCACTCCTCTTTATTATATTGGCAGCGATTCTGGACTGTTGTCAGGCCCAACTAACCAGACCTTTGGCTCCAATAATCTGGGCCTGGTTCACAGTGAAGCTGGCACAAGGTAAAACAAGCCCCCATAGAAACTTCATAACCCAGACAAAGAAAAAACATGCTCGCCTTAATAGCAAACTATTGATAAATGGAGATTTATTCTTCTTAAGCTGAGAGAAAGAATTAAAAGAAGGTAGAAGCCAAATGGGAGCTGAGAAAGAAACGGAAATGGTTACTGTAAAACCTAGGGAAGGCCAACAGAAAAGATGAGAGAATAGCAATTCCCAGGGGCATGGATTGTTAAAATACTTTTGAAATGTTGAAAATATTTGGCTGGCACAGTGTTTCTATTTAGTTCTGAACTATGAGTCTGGTGAGAATTGTGCAAATAGTTCATTACATAAGATACTTAATGGAGATGGTGTTGCTTTGCATCCTCTTATTCATCTGTCCATATGTTAATTGTTGATGTGTTTCAGATTTCTTTCCTGTTTTTTTTTTCTATGTGTGTTCTCTCTGGATGCATGCATCCTACCCATGGCCTTGAATACCATCTATGTCTTAAATCAGTCCCAAACTTTCTCACCTGAGCTTCAGATTATCTCTACAACTATCTACTTGACATCTCTGTCCAGAGAGTTCCAAGAATTCTTAAACTCAACGTAAATTTAACAGCTTATACTATAAATTTGTGTTTCTCAATGGGACCACACCAGGTCCCCTAAATGAATCCTCTGTGTGATTACTGATTTCAGGAACTGGCAACTGCTATCACCCTAGTTGCTCTCTATATAATCCTTGATGCCCTCTTTTCTGTCACTTCCACATTCACCAAATCAGGATTTCTTCCTCTTTTCTATTAAACTTATTGGCTCCATGCAAGTCTTTCTACCTACAAACTACTTGTCTTCTTCAGGCTGCTATTATATTTTATGTGAGTCATTGTGACAGTTTTTCACCTGGCCTCCCTGTCTCCAGAATTACTCCACTAATGACCATTCTCGTCACAGTAGACAC